TCTTTGTGGGTTTTGGGGGAACCTTGTTGGTGTCAATGTTTATTTTTATTCCACTGTGATCCGAGAAGGTGTATGGTAGAATTTCGGTCCTTTTAAATTTGCTTGTGCTTGATTTATGGCCAAGTATGTGGTCGATCTTAGAATACATTCCATGCGGTGATGAGTAGAATGCGTATTCTGTGGTCTTTGGATGGAGTGTTCTGTAGGTATCAATTACGTCCATTTGGTCAAGAGTCACATTGAGGTTCTGGATCTCATTGCTGATTTTTTGTCCTGATGATCTGTCTAGGGTTTTGAGTGGGGTATTAAAGTCCGCAGTTATGATGGTGTTAGAGTCAATATCTTTCTTTAGTTTTCCTAGAAGTTGCTTTATGAAAGCTGGCGCACCTATGTTGGGTGCATATATGTTTAGGATAGATATTTCTTGTTGATGGAGTGAACCTTTTATCATTATGTAGTGGCCCTCTGTATCTTTTTTAATTTTTGATAGCTTAAATGGTATTTTGTCTGAAATTAGGATCGTGACTCCTCCTTTCTTTTGTGTTCTATTCGCCTGAAAACTTGTTTCCCATCCTCTGACTTTGAGTCTGTGCATGTCCTTTCTAGTGAGACGGGACTCTTGAAGGCAGTATATTGTTGCCTGGTGATATTTTATCCATTTTGCCATTCTATGTCTTTTCAGTGGTGCATTTAATCCATTCACAGACAGGCTAATTACTGAAATGTGAGAGTTCGTCATAGAGTTCTTATATAGTTGTTGTTCTTCCACTTGGTTTTTTGTCTTTCTTTTGGTTTGGGGGTTGGTTTATGTTTATTTTATTTTTTTTTCCCTGTACTCTTGTGAGAAACGTTGTTCTTTTTTCCTTTTCTTCTGTGTTTAGTACTTTCATAAGTGTTTCATGTAGAGGTGGTTTGGTGGCAGCGTAAGTTCTTAGGGATTGGATATCTGGGAAAGATTTTAATTTTCCCTCGCTGATGAAGCTTAACTTGGCTGGGTAGGTTATTCTTGGTTGCAATTTTTTATCTTTTAGGACTTTGAAGATAGGGCTCCATGCTCTCCTAGGGGTTTCTGTAGATAAATCTGCTGCTATTCTAATTGGTCTTCCATGGTAGGTAATCTGGCCTTTTTCTCTTGTTGCCTTTAGGATTTTTTCTTTTATGCCTACTTTGTTTATATGAATTATTATGTGTCTTGGAGTTTGTCTTCTCATTTTTTATCTTGCAGGGGTTCTCTGAATCTCTTGTGTTTGAATTTTTGCATCACTGATTAGATAAGGGAAGTTTTCTTGAATGATCACATGGAAGGTTTGTTCCAGTGTGGTCTCTGTCTCTCTTTCTGCCTCAGGAAAGCCAATTACTCTTAGGTTCGGGGTCCTGAAGTAATCACTCATCTCTTGAAGGTTTTTTCTGTCTTTTTGAGCTTGTTTTCTGTGTTTTTAAGAGTTTGGGTTAGTTCTATATTTTGGTCCTCAAGCTCTGAGATTCTTTCTTCTACTTGGGTAATTCTGCTTTCCATGCTTATCAGTTTGTTATTTATTTCATTCACAGTATTCTTTATTACTGTTATCTCAGATGTCAGCTCCTTCCTAGTTTCTTCTTGTCTCTCCTCATTTCTTTTTAATCTCTCCATTAATGTCTTGATATCTAGGTTTGTAGTTTGGGACCAGTCATTCTGGGGGCTCTTCATTGTTTGCATTCCGAAGTCAGTTTTCTCAATGTCTGCCCTCCCAGGGGTCTGGGAGAGACCCATAGTCTTCTTTTGGTTTTCGTTCATTTTTGTAAATTTTTTTTTCTCTCCCCATTTCCCTCCCCTTCTTTAATTCTCTTTTTCAGGGAAGGTGGGGTTGCTTTAGTTTCACTTGCGCAATCTCCTGTTCTTCCTTATGAGGGTCCTCTGGCTTTGTTCACTTTTGAGGTTGGAGTGTGGGCTGCAGGCTGTACTTTTTGCAGTTTTTAGGTTTAATTGAGGGGGAAGCTGTGATTCAGAATCTATATGCTGATTCCACCATCCACCAACAGGTGTATGGGCGGGCACACTGGAACCTATTTCCCACTGCCTTACAATCTGTCTGTGCAACAGTATGTATGTTTGGTCCCTGGATCAAAAGGAGGTGCAAAAGAGGAAAGTAATGGAAGAAGGGGTGATCAATAGGAAGTTAGAAAGATAGAAGAGTGAGAGGAAAAACAGACATATATATCAACTAACAGGTGAAAAAGAGACACAAGGCCAGAGAGAAGTGAAAAAAACATGTGAGCAAAATACCCTAAAGGATACTGGTAGCTACACAGAGACAGAACAATAAAATCATGAAACAGATAGTGTAAGTCAGAAAGCAAACAATAGTGAGCAAAACAGTCAAAACGATAAAATCAAAAGTCAAAACAAGTGATCAGACTAGCTCTGGACTCTTTCCTGAGAGTCTAAATTCTCTTCAGCTCTGATCTCCAGTCTCTCCCCTTTGTTTTCCTTGCAGGCAGCTAGATTTACTGGCAGCTTGGGTTTGTTTGTTTTTTTTAGCTTGCTGCCTGGGAGGTCTGTGACATTGCCTTTGTCTGATTCAGCAGGGGAGGGGCTTTGTCTCCTGTTTAGCGATGTACCTTAGGAACCGAGGTGGAAGCTGTTGATAGGTGGGCGGGGCAATGCAAATCTCTGCCTGGAGAATGGCATAGGCGGCAGCTTCACTTTCATGGATCCTTTCTCTCCACTCGTCTGGGTCCCTGTGTTATCCACTGTGCTGGAGTGGGAGGCACTGGGGATCAGCTGCACAGCTGGGCACTGGGTCCAGGATGCCACCACCAGGCTGGGGTGGAGGAGGGGATCGGGAGTTCCCTCCTCTGGAGCTGAGAGCCTCTGATCAGCACCTCCTTAAGATATGCTATTCCCTTACACAAGCATGGAATCACACGCTGTGTACCTCAGCCAGGGTGGGCTCAGAGCTCCAGAGCTCCAAAGCTCCAAAGGGCAGATGGTGGGCGGCAAGAGTGGCCCTGGGTCCCTCACAGGGTACTTCAGCCAGAAATGGGACTGGTATCTCTGAGGGGCAGGCACCCAGAGCCTGCCTGGGTGACTGGCAGCTTGGTGCTGGGTGCTGGGCTAGACGATGTAGCCAGGGAGGGAGCTGAGACCCAGGACTCCTGCCCATGCAGGAGTAGAGCAGCAGCAGCTGGGGGCCACAATTTCTGGCCCTGTGCGGGACTGATGGTCCCCAGACCTTGGACCAGTGTGGCTGGTGGTGGGCAGGGTAGTGGGGTAAGAAAAGTAGGAGTGTTTTTGGGAACTCATGTTCGGAGAATCTTGCAAATCCATCTATGCTGTCACCATCTTACTGGAACCGGACACACTGAATTTTAAACTTAATCTTTTTTTTTTTTTTTAACTCACACTATGAGTTTAACTGAATAGTGGTATACCTAAAAAAAATTTTATAGCATCTTCATATTGAAGTAATTTGTACATAATAGTAAGAGAAGCATGAAGTTTCCATTTTCCTCAAGACATTTCCTAAAACTTTGGCAAATTTCCTAAAAATTTTAAGAATTGAAAAGACAGCTCTGCTGTTAATCAATTGTTATTTTGTGTGTGTCCATCTTTATCCTGTCTGAAGTTCACAGAACTCAAGTCTTGGATTTACAGAATTCAACAAATCTGAAAAATGCAGAGTCATTATTTCTTCAAGTATTTTTCCATCTTCCTCCTCTTCTCCTTTTGGAACTTCAACAACGTGTACATTAGGCAGATTCTCACAGGATACTGCAGCTTTTTTTTTGTTCCAGATTTTTATTTCTCAGGATATCTTAAACAGATTCTATTGCTACACCTTCAAGTTTACTTATCTTTCTTTTATAATGTCTAATCTGCTGTTATTTTCATTTAGCAAACTTTTCATTTCAGGCTTTTTTTTTAATCCTAGAACTTCCACTTGATTCTTTTTAATAGCTTCTGTTTCTCTCATATTTTATGTTTCCTTGTAATTCTTAAAAATAGTTAAAGTAACTTTTGTTTTGGAGTCAGCTTTTACTGTGTTGCCCAGGCTAGAGTACAGTGGCCTAATCATGGCTCACCCCAGCCCTGACCTCCTCAGCTCAGGCAATCTTTCTGCTTCAGCCTCCTGAGTAGCTGGGACTACAGGTGTGAGCCACCACGCCCAGCTAATTTTTTGTAGAGATGAGGTCTCGCTGTGTTACCCAGGCTGGCCTCAAACTTCTAGACTCAAGCAATTCTCCGTCCTTGGCCTCCCAAAGTGCTGGGATTACAGGCATGAGCCACCATGCCTAGCAATGTAACTTTTTAACTCACTCATTCCTTACTTTCATCGTCTTGTCATTTTTGAGTGCTCCTACTGATGATTTTTCTCTTGGTTAGAGTCACATTTTACGATTTTTGTATTGTAATTTTTATTACATGGGGAATGTGTATATTGTTTAGGATCTCAATTTTTTAAATTTTCCTTTAAAAAGCATGGGTTTTTGTTTTGACAAAGACTTAAGTAACTTGCAGATTACCTTAATCCCTTCAAGACCTGTTGTTAAGTTTCTAGGCTGTGCCTACCGCAGTCTTGATTTTCGAGACAGTACAGACCTAATGCCAAGGTGTAGCTCTCTGGCACCTCACAAAACTGTAATCTCTGTCTTAGAGATTAGTAGTCTCTGCTTTAGTGAGACTACTGAATTCAGTTTGGGTTTCCTTCTCTGCATCTGAAGTCCAGAAATTGACCCTAGAAGAAAGCCAAGGTGAATGCAGGGCTCAGCACTTGCTTCCTTTTGTCCTGGACTACTCATTTTCTAATATTAAAGAAATAGTTGCTTTTTCATATATTTTCTCTAGTTTTATAGTTGGTTTATCCAATCAAAATTTTTAGTCATATAAATTAGGCTCCTTAAACTGTACATGCAAAGGTTAGCTAAGCAAATCAAAATGGAAATAAAGTGGGGAGGTAATGAGATGATGGACTATAATAAAGTAAGAGGAATGAGAAATCAAAATATTGCAAAGTGATCACTCACCTCTGACCGCCACTAAGTTCAGTTAAGTTTTCTTTCCAGGTATTTCCTAAGGCAACCTTGAATTCCAGGCCATCCAAAACAGTTTGCCCTTCTGGTGGTGCAAGCATAGCATTAGCACCAGGCAAAAGAGTTGAAAAAATTGACCCAAAGTCTTTGTTCACCTGAATGTAAAAAAATATTAAAACATCAGAATGCTTTCCAAGAAGATTCAATGATGATATATGTACACACAACTTAGCAGGTCCATTTTGTTGTCTGTTACTCTAACTTGGGGGTTGGCAAACTATGTCCCATGTGACAAATCTGGCCATGCTCATTTGTTTACAAATTGTCTGTGGGGGTTAGTGCTACATCAGAATCAAGTAGTTGCAGTAGAGACCGGATGGCTCACAAAGCAAGAAGTATTTACTATCTGGCCTTTTACAAAAATAGTTTACTGAGCCCTGCTTTCATTCCCAAGAGTACTGGAAGGTATATCTCTAACTCCACTCCAAAGTTTTGATACTCTTGTAGATCATATTGCAAGAATCCTCGACACACACAACTGTATCACATAGGAGAATAAAACATAAAACAGTTGGAGAAGCAAACACAAAACAGAACTCTCTTGGGAATAAAATATTCTCTTATACAACTTTTTTTTTTCCCTGTTGATTGGTAGAGTAAGATGGGTTTATGGTTACTAGCTAAAGTCTTAAGATCAGGGTAAGGTCCAAGAGAAAAGGGGCCATAAAATCAAAGTATCAGATCTGTTCAAGGTGTTGAAGGATTTTTTTCTATATGCCTCATCTCATAGCCAAAGAGGTAAAGGTGTTAAGGGTCAGAAATAGGATAGGATCCCAAGAGAAAAGAAAGCTGTTTGGTCTGACCCCTTCTTGCCACAAGAAGAGGCAGTGATTTAGGGCCAAAATCCTAGCCTGTGATGGGGTAAATTTTGTGCACACACATTTGAAAGATGATTTGAGAATTTGGTCATCTGTCTTCAAAGACATGATCAATAATTTTAGTTAAGCAGTCAAACCTGAGAATGTTACACACACACACACACACACACACACACACACACACACACACGAGGATTTGGTGGCTAGAAATCTGCAAAGTCAAGTGCAGGTATACAAAATTCAAATATAAAGATACTTTCTAAAAAAATGAATACTTACAGTAACAAGGAAATCTCCTGGATACAAGTGCAGAGATCCTAAATTTAGACTTATTAAGGAACACATGTTTTAAGAGTAATCACATACCTGCTGAATAATATCCTACACAATGTAAGCAGGCTCTAGTTTTACCTGGAATAGATTTCCAGAGCTAGGTAATGCTCATGACAAATGGAGAAAGAATCACTGTTGTTTTGGGAGTGACCGAGGTAGCATAGTATTTATAAACACCCTAACTTCTTTTTCTTTTTCTTTTAGGCCAGGTTGTAGAATAGGCAACTCAATGCTACTAAGCCCTGAACACAACTATGGACCTGATGTAGAAATTCTTCCAAAAGAGAAAAAAATAAACTTATCAAGTTAATAGGAAGAATATCACCCTATACTATCTAGAAAAATGACTTATATTCATGGATTTATAAAAAGATGAAATAGAACTTTACAAGTCCAATGAGGCTAAAAAGGAAACAAACAAAATGCTTACAACCAAGTATGCTTGAAGCCAGAACAAAGAATATATTGCTGATAATAATAATACCTATCTTATTAGGTCATTGTGAAGATTAGATCAGAAAATTAATTTCAGAACAGTGACTAACATATAGTAAGCACTAAATAAATATTATTTGCTTTGGAAGACCTTGGAAGTTGAGGAACAGCATGATAAGTTTAAAGAACAGATTCTGATTTGCCCTAAATCCAGGAACCACTGGGCAAAAAAGGAAATAATACATCTCAGATACAGTGTTACATTGACATGGTGCACAAGAATAATGGTGTCAACTTTTTGTGTGCATTAAAAAAAGACAAATAGTACAGAAAAATGAAATACTGAAAATAAGCCTTAGAACAGAGAAAAACAAAGTGACTGAAAGAGATAACTGTACTGCCATTACTGAAAATAAAGTTCCTACAGAATTATAAAGAAAAACATAAAGGCAAGGTGCCCAACTGAGTCCCAGAAGGCACAGGTTTGCTAAGTGGCAAAAAGAACAGTGACTATGTTCTTTCAAATCTTTTAAGCAAGAGTCTTCCTAAAGTAAACATGGGAAAATTTATACATAAATGGCTAAGGAATTATCCTAGAGAAGACAGATAAATGAAACCAAAGAAGCAGAAGTAACAGTAAAGAAGCCTGAGATCTGCCAAAGATGACATCAAACAAAATCTGAATTAGGATTTTTGTTGAGTCCTGTAAAAGACAATAATACATTTAGCTCGTTTATTGTCTAATTCTTAAAGATACAAGAATGACAGCATCTACTAGTAGTGAAGTATAAAAATAGAAAAAAAAATTCATTTAAAAGTCTACAAGGTTTTAATTAAAATATAACATATGCCTCATTATTCATTAAACACAAATCAGTCATTTAAAATTTCTCATAGAGTATAAACCCACTGATGATATTATTCATCCTTGCCTCCTCATATAAAATAAAAGATAATATTTTGGAATCCACATACCTTTTGCCAGGCAATATTTAGGGCTTGATTTTTCTTCTGGTCAAGGTCTTCTATAGTTGTAAGAATTTTGGATTTGTCATTTTCTACAATTCTCTTTTTCTTCATCAAGTCATTATACTGTGAAATAAAAAGCATAGCTAATTGGAAAAATATAAAATAAAATCTCTATTTTCTAGAACTAAGTCAGAAATAAAGTGGTTTCATGATTTTTATATATAATTTCTATACTATTTATCATAAAGGTATAATACACTAAGACATAATGCAAAGTTAAATAAAATATATATGTATAAATAAAATTCAATTACTAAAATTGAGAATTTATAGGAGAAGGTCATGAAATATTTTGACTCCACAAACCCCTTATCTCCCTAATAGTCAAGACAACAACAAAAATAGTGTCATACGTGAATGCAAATAAAAGTAGCCCTGACTGCATTTTTCTTAAGGTCAGTCTTAGCTTTAACACAAATGAAATTCTAAGTCTTCATCATGATGTACAAGTCCTACTTAAGTTGGTCCTTATTTATCTTTTGATTAATGGCATCAGACTCCTCCCTAGGTTCTAGCCATAGGGTCTTTTTCAGTTCCTTGAACACAGTAAGCTCAATGTCTTATAACCCCTGCATTGTTCTTTCAGCCTGGAATGCTCTTTCTCTGTATTTGCTATAATGGGTACCTCAAGTTTTAGCTCAAATATAATCTCTTCAGAAAGGCCTTCCTTTGAAAAATGTTGTAGAGAGATAACTATACCATGAATAGCAGTGGGACTTTCTAAAATTCTTAACCCATTTTTCCTCAAAGTCTCACAATTGAAGGAGGTGTTGCATTCTCCTTTAACAACCCTAGCCAGTCCTATTATCTTCCTTGCTATCCCTCTCCTTTATGGCCGAGCTCCCAAAACCTCCTCTCCACAATGTTATCTTATTTCTTGCATGACTCCACGTACTTTCATATGTGGACAGATAAGATGTACAAACAAACAAAAAGATAAGACATACAAAAAAACAAAAGACTGATCAACAATAGTCTTTCCCCTCTGGTAAAGAGATGGAGGTTGATGAATTCTTTAAAAAAGAAAAAAATTAGACACAGTTCTCATTACTTAATGAAGTAAACAAATAAAAGTAACATGTTTCACCATGTTATATAGCTCAAATTACAAAACTTTCCTTCCATAAATATGCCACACACTGCAAAACTTTAATGTAGTACTGAAAACCAGCAGTAACATTGTATAAAGAGATCACAACACCAGCATTATTCACCTGTTTGATATTTAACATAATCTAGATCCTTCATGCATACTAATATCAACAATTTTAAAAAATTGTAGCAAAATTTCTACAAAGTTATTGAGCTCATAAACATCAGTTAATCATATCTCACATTAATTTTATTCTAACTCAAGAAAACTCAAACAGAATTTTTTAGAATTAAAGAAGGTATGGGGCATTAATATAAAGTTATTAAGATTGCTATTTCCTATGAAGCCCTCAAGAGTAGGGACTGCTTTCTCCTTTGGGTTTTTCTAGTGACAGGTCCTGCCAAGCACACCACTAGATAACATTAAAATTCCCTTCCTAACTCTAAAAATGTTGTCAGTGTGGGGGAGATGAATAATATTATCAAGTAATTAAGAGCATTAAAATCAAGATGGTTCTGGACTTACATATTAGTGAAACAGTGGTTACATATATAATAGTTATAGTCATTACTTATAAAATGGTCTCAGTGAACACTAGAGTCAAAAAGAAGTTATGGAGTGATTGGTAAGAAGGTAGACAATCAAGGCAAGTGAGAGAAAAGATAGAAATGTAAGTAATTAATAAGATCCAAATGTGTTTTTATTTGCATGAAGAATAAGAAAAGAGTAGAACATATTATCGGCAAAGAGCAAAAGCCAATGAAAAAGTCATTCAAGGTGTAAGAGAATGTAAAAACAACTAATAATGAAAAAGGATAAAACAATAAAAGAAAAAAATGAAAAGGGAGGAAAAGGAAAGCAGAAAGAAAACAAGTATCAAAGATATCAGCAAAGGGTTAGCTCTAATAACTGCATTCGGAGTCATGTAGAGATATCACTGCCAGTCATGTTCTACAGTGGCCAGATATTCAGAGGAAATTGACTTACTCGCTCTTCAGCTTCTGTCAGTACATTCATAGCTCTCATATTGACATTTCTTCCTAGTTTCTCCTTCATTTCTTGAAGCTTCTGAAGTCTCTGACCAGCTTCTTTTGGGTTATTAGTTTTGAAATCATAGGCACTATTGGGTTGGCCAAAGAGGTGTTTCTCTGCATTAATCCAGTCATGATCTTGCAACATTTTGGATACCTAGTCACATATGAAAACGGAAGGAGATCTATGATTGTTTACTAACCAACATTTATTAACCAGCTTCTTAAATATTTATTAATTTTAAATCAAATATTAGAGGAAAAATATTGACAGGAATGAGTATTTTCACCTGGAAGAAGCATAAACTATAGATACAAGAGACTGTAGAACAGAAGATCTTCCTATTACTTTAGAAGAAAAAGACACTCAGAGAAATTTTTACAAAGTATCTGCAAAACATCTTCATTACAGTAAAATGTAAGTCAGATGAGGCTTCATTAGATTTTACCAAATTCAATCTATTGTTTCAAAAACAATTTGTGAGAAGTTAAAATGCTTGTAATACTTAAGTCACAGATTTGGTAAAATCATGGAAGATTAATTCTCATTAATATCTAAAAATTTTCTCTCAGAATTTAAGAAAAAAACTGCCCTAAACATTACTCTGCTTCCATCCCATTTTGACAAAGACACAGTTGTAATACTTCATATAACACAACTGATTATAAAGTTGAAATTATAGTGCTTATAAGAAAACTTTCTTCTACTAAAATTGCTTAATATTCATTTTGACTAGCAGATTTCAATCCTTGTCAATTTGTTTACCTCTATTATTGCCACAGATATGGTCTCACCTCTAGGCCCCAAAGTAAAATTATCATTTACAGTCTATCTTTCCTGCTAACCTGCAGGAAAGCATTCTGTGTAGGTATTCCTCATCTTTATACTGTCGGTGCCTGTCATAATAGCTGATACTAGTAGGTATGCAACAGATTTTTGATAAACTGTGTTTTTCAAAGAATCCTTGACTTGGCAGCTCTACTTGCAAGTCTTTCGTTTTTACCTTCTCAACAGTAAATAACATCTCCTAGTAATCACCAATGCTAGCATTTTCAATTGCAGTACCAAAAAACTATTAGCAGTAACACTGACATTGGTAATATCTTAGCCAGTCCACTAACACTAAGCTACTAGGCTAATGGGAAATCAATAGTAATAAAATGGGAGATTATAATGTAGCCATAAAAAATGTTTTTTTAGTCAAGTTCATGTTCTTTCAGAGGGTAGGGAGATTGTCTTATATGTTCTTGATCTTTCTGAAGTTAAAAAGTTCATGTATTGTAAGGATGCTAAAAAAATTCTGCACATTAAAAAGACAACAAATGGTTACACACTCATAAGAAAATGTGATGGATGAATTATTAATACCACATGAATACAGTCTTTCAATCAAGCAATGAATTTCTGCAAAAGTATGTTTTCTCTTTCAAATACTCAAAGCCTCTGCAATACATAAAACAAAGAAATTTTAATAGTGATTAAACAACAGAAGGATAACCTCAAAAAGATAACTGTTTGGCAAAACCTCAGATTTTTGATAAAATTGCAAAAATTGACAACACTGACCCTCAGAAGGACATTTGCAAGCCAATTAAATCCTTTTACTAAAGTGTTTGTATATATGTATTTCTGTGAGTTCTTTAAATACAATTTGAAATAAGGCCAAGAATATATATTATTATTATTACCACTAATACATTCGAAATTACTTCTATCAACATTTGGGGGTTAAAATCAGTTATTTCCATCAGAAGCCATTAAACGTTTGGTAAATATATCTGTAGATGAGAACAAATATCTGAAATTAAATTTTAAAATAAAACATTTGTGCCATTTGTTGAAAATGAGCATTGTTAAAAGCATTTAACATAGTTGTAAGTTCAAAATTCTGTTAGACTATAGTTCTCCCATTTATACTAAGTTCTCCATTGAGCAGTTTATAAAAATTTTTCAGCAGTTCAGAAAAAAAACTTGATTACTAAGGATAAAAATGAACACAAACATGCCTTCGCAGCACCATCCTCAGCTTCCCGTTTATGTTTGGTAATGTTGTGGTCTAATTCCTTCATTTTAAGCTGAGATCCATTGTTTTGTTCCTTGTGTTTTGCCACTTCTGCACATTTAGCTTTAATTACACTGTCTTGGGCTGTTATCACTTCTTTTTGCTTGGTCACCTCTTCTTGAGCTTTATTTACTGACTCCTGAAACAAAAAATTAGAAAAAATATATAGTAAGGTAACATGTGAATATTTTTAGTTTATTAAAAGATTGTCAGCCGGGCTCGGTGGCTCAGCCTGTAATCCTGTGCCTTTGGAAGGCTGAGGTGAGTGGATTGACTGAGCCCGCGGGTTCGAGACCCACCTGGGCAGCGAGACCTCATCTCTACAATAAATCAAAAAATCAGCCGGGCGTGGTAGCGCATGCCTGTAATGCCAGGTACTTGGAAGGCTGAGGCGGAAGGATCGCCGGAGCCCAGCAGGTCGAGGCTGCGGTGGCCGGGAGCGGCCACTACACTCCAGTCTGGGCGACGGAGTGAGACTCCAACTCAAAAAAAAAAAGATTGTCTGATATAGACTCCTGGGCAATCTGGCAATGTGGTTACAGGCAGACGGTCACTTTAACGCTCTACACTTCCTAGCAATATTCAAAGGACTAATGAATTTGCATATAGGAGAAAACTTGAGTTACCACTAATAAAAATGGCTGGGGTACAATGTTCACATAGAAAATAAGAGTTTCTGCTGGATACAGAATAGATGGAATCAACTAGGTGGGAGAGAGACTACTGGAAGATAACCTATAAGATCCCAAAATTGGAAATTCTGGAACAGAAATCACCACTTTTGCCTCATGCTTTTATCACAAGAGTGAAAAGATCAAGAGCACTAAAGTCAAACATCTTAAGCCAGTATTTCATAAACAGATTAGCACTTTCAATCTCTCCAATTTGATAAATAATTCTTACCTTATTTTTAGCCACCTCATCTTCCATTACTTTAATCTGACCTTCATAGGATGTGATAGCTTCATTTACAGCGTCAAGTTGTTGTTTATAGGATGCATACTCTCTCTTGAGTTCTTCCAGTTCCAGAGTAATAGCTTCAACTTCCTATAGAAAATACAGTATCCAGGTATTCACACAGGTTATTAACTACTGAAAAATAGATATAAGGCAATTAAATTAATACTAATCTCATGCACATAAGACCCACAGCTTAGATACTACTCAACTACCAAAAGCACGTTATATATTAATAAAAAAAAACACATGGATAAAAAAAGTTTATTTTCTAATACTTAAATTTAAAAAAAAACGACAAATTAAATATATGTATACATTTTAGGGAAAATAATATAAAATTCTACCTACCAAATAATTAGTGGAGGTCGAGTTTTTTCTTTGAACAGAATTATTTAATGTACAAAAAAATTTCTCAATTTTATTCTTTCTCATTATAGCTTTTAGTTTATTAGAAAATACTTTGTGCAGTTACTTAATGATAGAATCTTAAGGTGTGTTAACAAAAAATGTGAGAAAAATATATTCAGATGCAACTGTATAGAACAGTGATTAAAAGAGCCTTTGCAAGCCGGGCTCCGGTGGCTCAGCCTGTAATCCCGCGCCTTTGGGAGGCTGAGGTGAGTGGATTGCCTGAGCCTGCGGGTTCGAGACCCGCCTGGGCAGCGAGACCTCATTTTTACAATAAATCAAAAAAAAAAAATCAGCTGGGTGTGTTAGCGCATGCCTGTAATTCCGGCTACTTGGAAGGCTGAGGTGGAAGGATCACCGGAGCCCAGCAGGTCGAGGCTGCGGTGGCCGGGAGCAGCCACTGCATCTCCAGTCTGGGCGACAGAGTGAGACTCCAACTCACAAAAAAAAAAAAAAAAAGAGCCTTTGCAGATAAAAACCTAGGTTCAAATTCCAGCTCTGGCATAATCTAAAAGATACAATAACATATTAACAGCCTACAAATAGCATTGTAAGTATAACATGCTCTGTCTTTGTTTTTTTTTTTTTTTTTTTGAGAAAGCAGGATTTATTAAGAGGACTGAAAAGCTCCCACAATGGAAGGGGACCTGAGAGGGTTGCCCCACGCTTTGTCTTACATCATTCTCTCACAGTGCACATTCACAGAGGTGGTTATCAAATAGAAATGTCAACTTGCTGAATCTCTGATCTAACATAGCTCCACAACAGCATACAATTCACTCCTGAAGAAAAGTTGTCTACTCCTGAAGGAAACATTTACCAAAAAGGCAACTTTGCTTTTTCCCTAAAATTAGCAAGTCAATGCATCTTATACTCACAACCACGTAACACTCAATTACAGAGTTTTCAGAGAAAACTACAGATTGAATATTCCTTATTTAAAGATTAAGATCAGAAGTATTTCAGATTTTTGAATATTTGCATTAAACTGACAGGTTGAGTATCCCAAATCTGAAATGCTTCAATGAGCATTTCCTTTGAACATCATGCTGGTACTTAAATTTTGTAGCATTTTGAATTTGAGATGCTCATCCTGTATATTTATTTGATTTGTTAAACGTGTAATCTGTTTTATAAAGAATATAACTTGCTTTTAGATTTTGGGATCAATTGTGATGAATAAGGCCAACTAATTATACCCTATTTACTTTAACTCTATGAGGATTTAAAAAGATTGGTTCCATTTCAATAAAAGTTATTACCTGCTGTTTTTCTTTCATTTTCTTGCTAGATGCATCTCCCTTTGTTTTGGCACAATCTAGTCTTTTCTGAGCATCCTTCAATTCTCTCTCTCTTTCAGCTTCTGCATTTTTCATTTTATTCTCCAATACTTCATATTTTTCTTCTGCTTTTTTTTGAATTTCTTTAGTGTTTTTTAAAGTCTCCTCACTTTCCTCTGCATCATAAAGTAGGCAAATGTGGTTATTTTAAGTAACAGATAAAGGCTTATAAACTTAACTTAATAGAAGAAATGGCCTGGAAAATTAGAGGCTAGAGTTTAAAACAAATAATTATTCCAATGATATTCTAGAATTGGTAAACTGAAACACAGATCCTACCTAAGAGCCATACCTGAATTATCTAAAATCTGTAAAGAAATAATCCCTTTGATATAAAATTGAGTAAAATAAACTTTATCTAACTATTCTGCTTTAAAAAGGTTTTGAAACAACTTACTAAAAATAAAAATCGCAGCTCATATTTTTAATATACCTGTATGCTTCCTAAAACAAGTACTGGCAGTATGACAATATTTTTCCTTAATTTTAGGTGCTAGAAAGTTTACAATTTCATAAACAAGCTTCCTGCATGTTCTTTACCTATTTACACATATTGAAGAAACTTCTCATTCAAGTAGACAATAACATAGAATATACGTAGGATACAGTATAAGAAAAACATCATCTCCAAATTAATGAAAGAAAAAATAAGAGAGCAAGACTGAACAAATATGTTGCTGTTACAACTGACATGCATTGTCAGTGTTAGGACCTATGTGCAAATATAATCCTAGAAGCCATGGCTGCACAATTTTTTGTACTACTTTTCATGCAGAATAAAAATGTTGGTGGTGAAATAGGTTTGTGGATATTGTCCTAAAGGAATAACAAAAATAAAAACTGCCACATCCAATTAAATTCTGATGAAAAAGTACAAGATAGCTTCTTAAAATTAAGGAGAGCTATAAAATGAATTAAACATTAAAAACTCTTCTACAACATAAATGCTAGCAACATATAATTAATAGACAAGTTCATAAGCCAAAAAGATATTTGCAATGCATATAACCTAGAAGAAATTTGAACTCTTAAGTATGAGAACGATGAGGAAAAAAACGAGCAATTCATGGGCAAAAGAAATAAACAGAAAATTCATATAAGTAGAAACTCAAAGGTTCAATGAACATATAAAGAAGACCAAAAATTTCATTAGCAATCAGGGAAATCCAAATTAAAATGCTAATAAATGCTACCTCTTCATAACCAACAGATTGGACAACTTTAAAAGTCTGGAAAGAAAAGGATATTATTTATTTATTTATTTATTTACTTACTTATTCATTTATTTTTTTGAGTTGGAGTCTCACTCTGTTGCCCATACTGGAGTGCAGTGGCAGCTCCTGGCCACTGCAGCCTCGACCTGCTGGGCTCCAGCAATCCTCCCGCCTCAGCCTTCCAAGTAGCTGGAACTACAGGCATGCGCTACCACGCCCGGCTAATTTTTTTGATTTATTGTAGAGATAAGGTCTTGCCAAGTTGCCCAGGCGGGTCTCGAACCTGCGGCCTCAGGCAATTCACTCACTTCGGCCTCCCAAAGCGCGGGATTACAGGCTGAGCCACCGAGCCCAGCCAAGAAAAGGATTTAGAGAAATGAAAACATTCATCTACCACTGGTGGAAATAAATATTGGTAAAAATGAACAGAACTATGGCAACATATAATAAAGATGAAGATGACCATACCTTAAGACCTAGAAATCCTGTACTTTGATTTGTCCTAAAGAAACACTCCCAAATGTGTCTTAAATATAACACACAGTCTTCTAAATACCTAAAGTAAGGTAAAGGATATGAATAAAAACAAAGATTAAGTATGAAACATCTTCAACCTACCAATGGTTTTTTTAAGGGCATCTAATTCTTCTTGTTGCTTGTGATATGAGCTTTGCTGGAGCTTAGTTTGTAATAAATCTGCCTCCTCAGTTTTCATCTCCCACTGCTGTTTTAGTTGGTGATACCTTACAAAAAGAGAAGTATATAATAAATAACTAAATTTTCTGGTATTTGAGACATACATTCAAACTTCAAGCTCTTACCTAAAATAAACTCACATGGCAATATAAGCTACTGGTTTCAGGAGCAGATTTGATAATTTTCAAGTTTCTGGGCATCAATTAATTCAGGTCTAAATTGGTAAGTGAAGGTAAACAACTCTAAATGACTGAAATCTGTAATAACGAAATAGTCTTAATTTCAGAAAACACTAAAATAATTTTTGAATAAATAAATCTCCTTAAAAATAATCCCTCCTGCAGACTCATCTAAAAGAAAACTCCACAACTACCCACCACAAAAAGAGACTATAACAATTACATAAGCCGGGCTTGGTGGCTCAGCCTGTAATCCTGCGCCTTTGGGAGGCTGAGGTGAGTGGATTGCCTGAGCCTGCGGGTTCGAGACCCGCCAGGGCAGCGAGACCTCATCTCTACAATAAAATAAAAAAATCAGCTGGGCGTGGTAGCGCACGCCTGTAATTCCGACTACTCGGAAGGCTGAGGCGGAAGGATCACCGGAGCCTAGCAGGTCGAGGCTGCGGTGGCCGGGAGCGGCCACTGCACTCCAGTCTGGGCGACCGAGTGAGACTCCAACTCAAAAACAAAAAAAACAATAAATAAATAAATAAATAAATAAAATAAAACAAAAAACAAACAAACAAAAAACAATAACATAAAATTAAAAAATTTGGTTATCTATATTTTAACCACCATTTTCGAATGTTAAAAATAATAACAATGTTACCTACATTTTGTAATGAGACTTATGTTTTAAGAAGAACAGTACTGAACTTAATCATTTGCAGTGCACTTGCATGAAAACCCTGTAATTGTATCGCAGTTCTTGCTGCTTAGTCATTTCTTAGAAGGTAGTTAGCTAAGTCAGTTGTAGTGAAATTTTAAGTAAATGTAAACTTAAGGTAAATGTATATATGAAGTTTGAGGAAAAAAGGACATAATACCTTGAGTATTTTTGTCTGAAACTGTATCTGACAATACTCAAAACAGTAATTTTAACTTCAAGATATTTTTAAAAGTATAGAAAATTAAAAGGATAGGTGCGTTACTTTCCTGATACAGTATGAAATGACTTTAGCCAGATCCGTCCATTCTAATATTTTTCAAAATCTATTTCCTTTCCTTGACCTCAGTGCCACCATTAGCCAACAAGTCAATTCTGTAGAATAAATGATCAGATACTTCTGAACAAAATTAATACGTCTAAGCCAAATGTGACTACAAACTCATCACCTTGCTGGTGCATCTGCATATCACAGAAAAATTCTGCTGTATTCTCACAGAAAAAAGTTCAGCCACTCTATGACTAACTTAAAAAAGGTAAAATGCAGGCTTTATATATTTACAATGTTTGAAAATAAGCATTTTGATGCAATTTATATATTTGAGTAGCCATAATCTGACTGATTATGAAAATTCCTTCAGGGTATAGTGTCCCAAAAAAATCTTGATGCCATTTTACACCTTGATAACTTCAAAAGTTGAATGTTAATAACTTACTTCCCCAAAAGTATTTCAAAGTTTATTTAGACTTTTAATATTTTATTCAGTACTGTAAATTCTGAATAAATTATCTTACTAGTCCCTTTATATGTGCAGAGGAACTGAAAAAATTACAATTAAATGTCCAAATAATACATTCCATATGTTTGTAACACTTTTAACTCCCAAAGCCAGTTCACTCACGTCTTCCACATGTTTACTAAACTAAAGTTCTCAGTGAGGTTTTTCTTGGGCACCCAATCTAAAATTTCAGTACATCTTTGCTCCAGACAGTTCATATCTTCTTTTCTAATTAACTTTTTCCTTCTTAGAACTAGCTTACATGTTTTACTAATTTATCTTTCTCTAATTTCTATTTTCCCAACTATATAAAACTAGGTGAAGGCAGAGATATTTATCTATCTGATTCACTGCTGTATCCCCAGCTCCTAGAAGCGTACTTGGCACAAAGGAGGCACTCAATAAATATTTGAGTGAATAATGCTGAATGACAAAAAGAGGTTACATTAAGTAGCATGATCTCAATTTTGAAAAATTAAAATAATAACCGTATTATACACAAACAGAGGTAATGTTGAAAAGCATGCATGCCTAACTCTATCTACACCCACACAGAAGAAACAATGTAAGGAAGCACTAAAATGTTAGTGCTGACATTCTGACATTAACTTGTTTACCTCCTTGTTAGGCCACCTAGCAGATTGTCAATTCCTGTAAGGCAGTCACAGTATCATTAAATTAAGTGCAAACACTCAGTCAATGCTATACTACATATTTTCAAATCAAGAACTTAAGTATTCTTTGGTATGACACTCAAGTATCTAAGGGTTTCCCAAGCAACGCAGAATAATAGTGTGTATATCAGTAAGGAGATGTGAAGGCCAGGCTCAGTGGCTCAGTCTGTAATCCCAGCACTTTGGGAGGCCGAGGTGAGTGGATTGTCTGAGCCCACAGGTTCCAGACCAGCCTAGGCAACTTGGTGATAATAAAAAAAAAAAAAAAAAAAAAAAAAAATTGGCCGGGCATGGTAGCACATGCCTACAGTTCTGGCCACTTGGAAAACTGAGGTGGAAGGCTCAATGGAGGGTGGCAGTGAGCATGCCACGGCATTCCAGCCTGGGTGATGGAGTCTCCAACTCAAAAAAAAAGAGATGTGAATATAAGACTAATTTTTTTTCTTTTGCTTAAATTGATTTTGCTAATTTCATGTAAAAATGACATTACTCCTATAAGAAAAAAAGTAAATAACTAGTAATTCATCAACTCATAATATAATTAATACTTTAAATAAAACCAAGAATACTACTTAAAAAAAATCAAAAGTTGTATTTCTTTAAATAAAGGTAAATGTCCTACCATTTTCTACCATGCAAAAATCTTCAATTCAAAAAATATAAAAAGCAAGAATTTAAATATTCTCTGGTAAATACAGCTTAATCTAACAGAAGTCTTACTTTTCAGCAGTGTTTTTAAGACCTGCTAATTCCTCCTCTAGAGCCCGTAGTTCGTTCTCTTTGATTCTCAGTTCATCCTGAACATCTTTGAGTTCTTGAAACTTGGTTAAAATAGAAGCTGCCTGGGATCGAGCACCTGATAGAGGCAAATTAAAACAGTCCTTGCACATTAAACATGTATACATTAAACGATATAAAGTCTTCTAAGAGAATTATACTGGAAATGATTCAACAACAAATCTTTCAGTGAGCTTATAAAGCTACAGAATTCATTTCCTCATCACCCGAACCTTAGGACATATGGAATTGATAATAAATACATCCAAGTGGATTATTTATTCAAAATAACCACTGCCCTATCTGCTGGGCTCATCCCTTGAAGTCCCATTTTCCACCTTCATGACACTGGACTCAGTCATGTGATTGGCTTTTTCCAGTGAAATGGGAAATGTGCCTCTTTTGAAAGTAAGCTTTGGAGGCAGCACATAATTCACCATTTGCTTTCCTCTGCCATTAAAAAAGCATAGTTCAAGGAACTATTTCTACTTCAGATTGAGTATCAAAATGAGAACAATGGAGCGGTGAGGCAACTGATCTGCAGTAAATGTAGTATGGCTATGGAATAAATTTGTTGTAAGCTACTAAAGATTTGGGGGCTGTTTGTTATCACATCATAAACTGACCTAAGCTCTAATATAGGAGAGCAAGCAGTAAAAAATGACTTCACATTATAAGCAACTGTAATTGTCTGGCAGAGACAGAATGAAATATTAGGCTGACAAGGAAAGGTGTGATTGAAGAATGCCAAGAGCTGTTAGAAATGCTGTTTGGATTACTTTGTTAATAAGATACAGGGTTACATATTTTCTATCCCTTAAGCAGAAACTTCAAGAACATTTAAATCAATACAATGTAAAAATTTCTTCTGTTATAAATATTTAAAAATGTTAAGTCTCTCTTTATCTTCCATTTGCAGACACTAGTCATTTTATTGTGTACTGGGAAACCTGACACTTGATCATAGAATTCACTGAGTTTGCTATTGTTTTCTTGACCTAGAAAGTCAATAAGTTACCTGAACTCTCAAGAGGTTTTCTACAATCTACTGGGTTAAAACTCTGAAATCAGACATCCTGGATTTAAATTCCGACCTGTCACTTAGGAATGAGTTATTTAACCATACTCTATACCTTTATTTCTGTAACTGTACATTGAGTATAATAGCAATATGCCTTACCTCATAGCTGTTATTATGGGTTAATTATTTAAAGTCCATAGAATAGGGCTTTATAGACTGATAGAAATGTTTTATGTCTGCATTGTTTACCCATTAACCATTTATGGGAACTGAGCCCTTGAAATGGGACTAGTTTAACTGAGAAAACTACTTTAATTTTATTTTATATAACGTCAAGAGCCACATGTGGCTAGTGGCTACTGTATTAGACAACAAAGTCTTACAACACCATCTGGTATATAGTAAGTACTATTTAGCATTCATTATAATATCACTTGGCACAGATCTAGAAACTCAGTGGAGCAAATACTAGAACTAAAAGAATATGATCACTGTCTAAGAATTCCTTTAAGGCATTAAGGTATCATTTCAAGGGCAGATTTAATTTTTTAGTTTATTTTTGACAGGAGCAGTGGCAGCACTGGCATACACACAAACTAGAAGTTAACATGTTTTTTGAAGAAGTGAGTAGTTAGGTTAAAAAGTACTTAAAAAGATGTCATTTCCCAGTGTCTACAATATCCTGACAGGGCAAAAAGCAAGAATATCCAGCATTAATGTTCTATGACTGGAATATCTTCATAGGGCAAGGAGTAAGAATAAACAAATGTATTTAAGATGAATAAAAGGATTGATTAATAGACTGTGAGATCCTTGAGCGCTATAACATTATATAACTTCTCAAATATTATTAAGTACCTGTCACATGGTTGGTATTCAAAAGCTGAACTATATCCTAAAATTTTTACATTAAGGCTTTGGAAATAAGTATTTAATCTTAAGTATAAAACCTGGGTACTAGTCCTGGTTCTAACCAAACACTGCTAATAAAGCTCTGAATTAAGTCATCTCAACCCTACCATTTCTTAATTAAAAAAAGGTCCATTCCAATTTGCCACACAAAATTGTGAGAATACAAGGCTATAAAACTTACCTCCACTCAATGTCCCATGAGGATCAAATACATCACCTCCCAGAGTTACAGTTCTAGTCATTATCCTTTTATCAAAGGCCACTTTTTTGGCATTATCCATATTATCACAAACAAACGTTGTTCCAAAGACAAATTCCATTGCTTTCTGAAGTTCTGGTTTATATTCAATCAGGGAAAGAGCCACATGAACATTATTAGGGCCAACCTGTGGGACAACAGATATGCCATAGTTCACACCACTTCCTTTTCTTTCAAATATTATTTTATAACCCAGTATAACAGAAATTTAATTAATACTTAACATTAAAATTATTTTTGAACTTTCTAAAAAGCTATGTAAAACTTAGTTTCAGGAAACTAAGTTTCAGGAAAAAAACTGCAGGCTTAAATACTGAGAGATCTATTGCTAAGTACCAGGCACTATGAGAGTTTCTATCAAGAAGGAGCCAGTATCAAGTTTTTAAATCCAAAACGAACTCTTTGGACACAACTTTCTTAATTAAAGTACAGTACAGGTTGAGTATTCCTTATCCTAAATGCTTGGAACAATAAGTGTTTCAGATTCTGGATTTTGGAATATTTGCATTATGCCAGTCAACCATTTCAAATGCAAAATCCAACATGCTGTAATAAGCATTTCCTTTGAAAGTCATGTCGGCACTCAAGAAGTTTTAAAATTCTTTAGCAATTTTGGATTTGGGATGGTCAATCTGTACAGGTAAAACAAAAACCATTTTCTATTTTCTTAACTGGAACCTAGTTTACTGGTATGGGTGCTCATGTAAAGATACGATAAAGCTATAATATTAATAAAGAGGATGAATTTTTATTTCATTTTGTTGTTTTAATCAGACTTTGTATCTCGAAGTATCATGATTGTGTGGTATATCTTTGTTCTCAACTTCAGTATAGGGACATTTATCCCCACTTAAGAATCACAACCCCTTGAAAAAATGAGTATTCCCATCAAATCCTCAATGTTTTGTTTTGAATTCTATGTTGCTTGCTGTAGTGTTAAGATAAGTACTGTTTCAGAGTGGGGAGAGATGGGCTATATAGTATGAGAAATGCCATTATGGATCAGGCCACATCCACCTTCCAGGTGGCAAAGTAAAGTTGCTTTCCATAACAAAGACTTCAAAGATCTAGTCTTTTGCCTCAAATACCCTTATCTTTCCAATAATAATCTGCCATGCTTTTCTCATTTATTACTTAATTGATTACTTAATCAATTTTTTCTTTAGTTCTGCTTTATGCTCAGTGATCTTTGTGCTCAGTCCACCTCCATCATCTTGTTCCATAAAAGTCCACCGACTTTCTTGACATTTATGAAGTTTGCTACGGGCATATCAAGCCTTAAATAATATTTCTTCTGCTTTTTACCCCTAATCCAAAATGCTCCAATGAGTATATCATCTGAATCCCATGTTGAAGCTCAAAAGTTTAGAATTTAGGAAAACTCTGGATTTCATATTTTCAGATTTGGGATGCTTAACCTGTAAATTCCCAGATCAACATGATTACACAAAATGTTTTGTTTAACTTATTAGTGCTTTAGTTGTTTTACACTAAATATTTTTTCATTCAAATTAAACATGCTACAGCAGCCACCTGCCAGTTACAGAAACAAAAAATAATAAGTAAAAACAAAAAACAAACCAAAACTTAGTCTTCTACCTTGATCCAACTGCCTTTTCTTAGTTGTTGTTTATAAAGTCTACCTCTACTCATCTTTTTTTTTTTTTTCTTCTTTAAACTAAGCATCCCTTTTGGAGCTTAGTAGCAGCAGTAGCAGCAGAAATCAAAATGAAGGCAGCATTATATAAAACATACTCAGTATTGTTCCTTGACATCTCAGCTACCATTAAACTGGTCTGGCTAGGGGACTTAACTGAGTGAAAGTACTTTTGCTATTTCTTCAAATTCCAATTTACTTCTAACACTGGGACTTGACCTATGGCTAAATTAATTTCTTGAGCCTTCTTGACCTAAAGGTGATTTTTCAAGTCGTTGAAGTACCAACCCAAAACACTACCTTTCAATTACTCTGCACTCATCCTCCCTCTCCTGATACATACCAACACAACTGTATTTTGAAATTATTTTCATTGAAATCTCAAAGACATTGTATATCCAATTAGTTACACATATATTTCTAGGTTTCAAAGAATGACCTTTTCAACTTATAAACATTTGGAATGCCTGCTCAATTACAAACTAATATTGCTGCTGATGTGTTAATTGGCTTCATGTGTTTGCCCAGTATTATACAACCATAGCAGCTTTTTCATTGTATTTCCTGTATTCATTTAGTTTTTTATTAGCAAGCATACTATTTTAGATTCACTTCAGCAGATGACTAGGATCCTGGTCACCTTCTAGATATACTTTGAACAGCAATCTAGAAGAACTCTAATAAAAAGCATCACTGCAATACTCTTAAATTCTTCCATCATGGTTGCCATTGTAGGCAGTTGAAGTATGCCACACACACACACACACACACACACACGCACACACACACACGCACGCACACACAGAAATTCTGGATATTTATAAGTTCAGTTCTAACGAGTAAGAAATCAGTGGTACAATTTTTTCTACCATTTCATAGTCATGTGAATTGACCTACAGTTTAAAGAATACACTCCAAAATATCAAAGGGAGTTCTAGTTTTCCAAAATTTCTATTCTCCATCTAATTGCACAAGAGGCAACCCTATATTTTTATCTTAATTTAAAAAATAACAAAAACAATTGGTTCTGCATATAATTAAGTCCTCCCAGTTATGTCTTCTAACTTTTAAAAAGAAGACAAAATTAACACGTAAATAAAACAAAGTAAGACTTACAAGTTTCTGAGCAACGCTGAGAGTTTCTGGAGCAATACATTTGGCTGAAATCTTATTGAGTGGAATTATAGTGTACCGACGCTTCAATTCCCCCCTTTCTAGTAGTTTTTTACCAGTAACCTAAGACAAACATTTGAAATTAGAAAAATAAGTATATTGACAATAAAAGAACACATTAACATGGAAAGAGTAAAAATTTAGGAAACCATAATCAAATAAATTTTTAGTGCCTTCTATACCAAACAATCAAAAGTTTAAGTTATATATATAATAAAATATTTACCCTTAAAAAATGAGATGTTGCCATTTGCAACAACACAAATGAACCTGGAGGATATTGTGCTAAACGACTTAAGACAGAGGGGAAAAATGTACAACCTTACTTCTATACACTATCTAAAAAAAAAAAAAAAAAAGTTGAATAAAGAGAAACAAGAACAGTGGTACCAGGGGTGGGGTTAGGAAGAAAACAAGTAGAAGTATATCATAGGTCAAAGGGTATAAATATGCAATTAGGCAGGATGACTAAATCTACCTATTTGAGACATAACATACAGCACGAAGACTACATACAGTTAATAATATTGCATTATATACTAAAAATTTCCTATGAGAATAGAGTTTAGGTGTTCTTGCAACATGCAAAAATGTTAACTATGGAAGGTGATGAATATTTTGCTATTTTTGACTGTAGTAATCATTTCACTATACATATGTATCAAAACATATTATACACCTTAAATATATACAATAAATTAGAAAACAGTACAGAAGTACATTCAAAAACGATCATGTAGTATAATGCACTTAACAAACATCTACAGAACACTTTACCCAGCTACAGAGTATACATTCTATTCATCAGCCCATGGAACATACTCCCAGATTGATCACATTCTTGGACATAAACATGAAAAAATTTCAACAAAAAAATCTAAATAAAAAACCATGCATCTCCTCAGATCACAACAGAATAAAAATAAGCATCGCCACCAACAAGATTCCCCCAAAACACACAAAGACATGGACAATAAACAACATGCTGCTGAATGACTTCTGAGTCAACATGGAAATCAAGACAGAAAAAGATTCTAGGAATGCAACTGACTTTTGTATTTATTTTATATTCTGAGACTTTGCCAGAGTCCTTTATCAATGCAAGGAGCTTTCTGACAGATTCTCTTGGATTTTCGAGGTATGGACTCATGTCATCTACAAAGAGGGACAATTTAACTTCCTCTTTTCCTATTTGGACACTGATTTCCTTATCTTGTCTGGTTGCTCTAGCTAGGACTTCCAATACAATGTTGAACAGGAGGGGCAAGAGTGGGCATTCTTGTCTTGTTCTGGTTTTCAGGGGAAATGGTGCCATTTTGTCTGTTAAGCAGTATGTTGGATGTGGGTTTCTCATAGACGGCTCTTACTATTTTGCCAACTGTATATCTGACAAAGGCCTAACATCTAGGAGCTGCAAGGAACTCAAACGTGCTGAAAAAGAAAAAAACAAGCAACCAGATTACAAAGTGGGCAAAAGATATGAATAGACACTTCTCAAAAGAATATGAGCAGCCAACAGATACATGAAAAAATGCTCAGCCTCACTAGTCATCAAATAAATGCAAATTAAAACCACACTGAGATATCACCTAATTCCAGTCAGGATGGTATTCATCAATAACTCAAAAAACAACAAATAATGTAGAGGATTCGGCAAAAAAGGACCACTTCTAAACTGTTACTGGGAGTGTAAACTAGTACAGACTCAGTGGAAAACAATGTGGTGCTTCCTAAAAGATCTAAAAATCTACCTTCCGTATAACCCTCCAGTCCCCTTACTGGGAATGTATCTGGAGGTACTCAAATCACTCTATGAAAAAAATACCTGCACAGACATGCTTATTGCAGCATTATTTATAGTAGCAAAAACATGGAACCAACCATGCTGCCCATTGAAAGAGGACTGGCTACAAAAAAGGTGGTACATATGGAATATGTGGTACATGATGGAATATTGCATAGACATAAAGAAGGACAAAATTATGAACTTTGCAGCAACTTGGATGGACTTAGAGGCTATAATACTGAGTGATCTATCACAGAAACAAAGAACCAAGTATCACATGTCCTCACTCATAAGTGGACCTTGAACAACTATCATAATACTATAAGAAAAGGATTGGCAGTAGTGGGAAACTGCCAGGGGAGGGTGGGGGCGGGATTGCCAGTAGAGGGAAACTGCCAGGGGAAGGCGGGGGGGCACATGGCATCAACAAGGGTATCTGCATAGTGACCATCTGTATATCTTACCCTTAATTGTATCCCACATATTTAAAATAAAAATTTTAAAAAAAAGAAAGAAAAAAATTCCTGGAAACAAACAAAAACAAAGGCATACCTTTATCAGAATCTCTGGGATGCCACGAAAACAGTGTTACAAGGAAAATTCACAGCATTGCACATACACACCAAGAAAACAGAACGATCACAAGTAAACAGTCCAAACCTAAGGGAGTTGGAAAGGCAAAATCACCAAAATCCTAACTTAGATCACCAAGATAAAATCTCAACTGCAGGACACAGAAGACAAAAATATCATAGAAAAGATCAATAAGACCAAAATCTGGTTCTTTGAAAGGATAAATAAGATTGATGGATCCCTGGTCAGGCTGACCAAAAAGAAGAGAAAGTCTAAATAAACACAATTAGAAACGCAAAGGAAGTCACAACTGACCCTGAATAAATTCAAAAGATTATCACATATTACTATGAACACCTATATACAAATAAACTTGAAAACCTAAAGGATATAGAGGACTTTCTGACAACACATAATATCCCAAGGTTGAAATAAGAAATTGAAAATGACCAATAACAATCCAGGAAATCAAATCAGTCATAAGAAATTCCACAAAAAAAAGTCCCAGACCAGATGGCTTCCCAGCTGAATTCTACAAGACATACAAAGAGGAGCTGATACCAATATTATTGAAAGTATTCCTGGCAATCAGGAATTATCCTCAACTCATTTTATGAAACTAACATCATACTGATGCCCAAACCTGGCAAAGACTCAACAAGGAAAAAGAACTTTGGGCTAATCTCCTTGATGAACATAGATGCAAAAATTCTCAACAAGATTCTAGCAAATTGGATCCAACAATACATCTCAAGGATTGTCCTCCATGACCAGATAGACTTCATTCCTGAGATGCAGGGCTGGTTCAAAACTCTTAAGACCATAAACGTAATTCAGTACATCAACAGATGTAAAACCAAGAGCACTTACCTAGCAGAGAAAACCTGTACTACAAGGGGCCCACCCTCCAAAAGATAATTCCGGGTTATTTGGGGTTCCTCTTGTATATTAAAAAAATAAGAGAATTCTGGAGAGGGATAAAAAGAAAGAACTGAAGAAATGCAGATAAATACAATGTTACCTCAATGTAAAGACTGACATTAAAAGCAGGTCATTTTTTTCCTCAAATTATTTTACAAGTATAAAAAAATTTAAGCTTGTGCAGAATTAAAAAGAAAGGAAAGAAGTCTAAGATTGATAATATGCATTCTGAGCTCCTGAGTAAGCATTTACTTTGGAAAAGTTTATCAGAAAGTCACTAACTAAACAATTTTACCATATAAAGACAAGTGATCTGAGCAGAGAGGCTTAAAACATCAAGAAAGTGTCCAATAGCACATGAGTTTTCAAGCTAAACAGCAATTTTACATTTTCTTTAATTAAAATAAATTTACCTCTGTGTCTACTACAACATTATAGAGTCGTTCCCCAGCTACCAATTCTAAAGCTGTGGTTGCAGAAGTATCTTTTACACTGATCAGAGAAGCTACAAGTCCTTTCACACAATTTCTATTCCAGTTCTTCTCTGGATCCCTAAAATAGAAAAGTTAACAAAAATTAATCTTAGAAAAGAAAATAGAAAAAGTTAGTAAAGTCAAGAGCTCTTTTAAACAATACATTAAACTGAAATGAAAGCAGAAGAATCAATGTAAGGAAACAAAAAATTTTAAATGTCCTAGGTGACATTTAAAAATATCAGCTCTGGTTTTGAAACCAATCAATAGATCTTTTCAGTGCAATTAAAAAAAAAAAAAACTCTGATGTTCTAACTTGTACAATATTTATGATTAGTATAAGTATTCCATTAAGAAATCCAAGTAGCAAAACAAATTATAAGATGTTAGACATTTAACAGTAATGATAGAATAACTTTAAAGACACTTTGAACTGAGATTAAATTCCTCGTTTTGGTTTTAAGATTAGTGACATCAGTAGACATTAAATTCCACAAGAACTGCCCTGCCAGCATTTGAAACATGTAGCTGGATATTTAAGGAAAAAACACCAAAATTAAGGAAAAACTTATAAGAAATTTCATACAAAAATTTTCAGATTGCTGCAAGCTTAAATAAAAATATGTCTTGCTTATTTTATGTTAAAATTCAAGGTTTAAATCTCTTACTTGTATGCAAATCGAAGATTGGGAAATCTGGCCAAGAGAGCTTCATATGTTTCTTTCAATCTACTGATATCACGAGACAGCTGCCTGCGCTTTTCCAAAAGGCTTTCCTCCTTGTTTTCTGAGGAGTAAATCATAAATAAATTGAAACAAAGTTTTTAAAACACAGATACTACTGCTTTAAGGAAAATACTAGTAACTACAATTTCCAAAGCATTTCTAGAAGCAAAATATAAATTACTGATAAGTACTAAATAAAAAAGCAAGCTAAATATTCAAATTTCTATCAAGCGTCAAGTAGACATTTCTAACAACAAATAAAACAATTTCATTATGAAGCAACATGTAAACTGAATGCCTACAAACACAGAAATATACAAATGACTTCTCTGAGCTTTCAAAGGACGGAAGCAGGAAATTCTCAGTCTGAGTTCTCAAAAATCCAATGGGCTGTTTTAAAATTAGATATTTTCTGACCATATTTATAAATACTTCTTATATTAATGCCCATTATAGGGTAAAACATGTTTCCTATTTGCTTATTTATTTGAATTAGTTCCTGTCAATAACCACTATCTCTTTATGATCTAATAATCATGTTTTTAAAGGCAAACCTTCATAATTTAGCTTTTTCATTTCGGTTTCAAGTTTTTCTTTAAGTCTCTTTACAACTTCTAAAGCTTCTTGATCCTTCCTGTATCCACTATCCATTTTCTTAACTTCAGCTTGTTTATTCTTTAATTCCTGTTGGGCATGTTTCAACTTCATCTGAGCCTGTGACAGAAAAATTTAAAGACTATATAAGAGGCAGATATCACTAGCAATTAAATGGCTACGGATTGGTTTAATTAAGACCTCAGTCTTAAAAATGTGTTTGGTCTCTTGGATTAGTCTTTCAACAGATCAATCATTTCTCAGTATCTTCTCCTCAAAAGAAAAGCCAAAGTATAAACTGATATGTGATTAATATAAATTATTAAATAATTTGTAATTTAAGTCCATATTTTTAATATTTATAAAATATAACCTATTAACAGTTACAAATTATATTGAAGATTAACTGTCAGCGGGTTAAATAAAAAATACATAGAAAGTTAGAAATCACAACTCTGGTTTCCCTTCCTTTCCACTTAGGCGTTCATATGAGAGGGGAGGCCCCAAAGATCTGGAATTTATTTATTTAAAAAATTGAGTATATATTCTTACATGCTGAAACTTCATTCAGTCACCTTCAAAGTGCCCTCCATTTGATGCAATACAACTACTGAGATGTTTTCCACTGCTCAAAACAGTTTGTGAACTTGTCAATTTTGATGCCTTTTGTGCTTCTGCCGTTTTTCTGTTTCACCTTTTCCACATCAGCAAAACTTTCTCCTTTAAGGAAATTTTCTCATCCAGGGAAACAAAAATAGTTGCCTGGGGCAAGACTGGGTGAATAGGGAGGGTGAGCCATGGGGCAAGCTGTTTTTGGTCAAAAACTGCTGAATACTCAGTGCAGTGTAGGCAGGTAAGCTTATAAAACACTCATCATGAAATGGGCAAACATGTTGAAAGAATCTCCAAAAAAAATTCACTGAAGCTGAAGGCAGCCTATCACAACAACACTAGCTGGAACACTGATGCCAACAGGCTCCTAAAACACTTACCTAGCAGGGGAAGTCAGTACTACAAGAGGTCCACCCTCCCAAAAATAATTGCATTATTTTGGATCCCCCTCTTATTTGTATTTGTATATATTCGTGAGTGTTGTCTAATAATAGTGGAGAAGCTGTACTGATCAATGAGAAATAAAATTAATAGGAAAAAGGAAGATAAATTGAGAGAAATTTAAATACCATAAGTCTGATATTACAACGCTGGAATTTCTGAAATTTAAATGCATCTGACCTTCAGGAGTCTTAAGTTTATATAGTTAGGCACTGCTTCGTAAAACCATGAACTAGTATTCTAAGACCTAGATGGGGGTATCCTCCCTTAAATCTGAATAATGATAAATTTTTTTCCCAAGTACCTGTATAACATAAGTTAACAGAAAAACTGAGTGTGTATATAAGGTTGTTTTTTTTACTGTTGAGTTCTTCTAAATTTTCATAACTATGAGCTCTGTCATCCCTGAATAAAAAGAAAAACTTCGGTAAGATTAATGCATAATCACACACATTTGTGTGCACATATACTTTAAAGCCGAGTCCTCCATTAAAAAAAAAAAATGATGACACGTGTGTGCATATATTTTTTTCTGCCAACAAAATTCTTGTGTTCACAGGACTTTAAGTTGCACTATTATGTAAACAAACCTGAGAAACATAGATTGACAAGACCCAGCAGATTATGAAATCAGAGTAGGGAAACCAAAGACTGAAAACGTGGGTTAATTTGTGGTAGAGAAACTTCCTAGAAAGACGTGAAGTTTGAAACAAGAATTTAAGAACTATGTATGGTAGGCAAACCAATGGAAAAGACAGTTTTGTTTTCCTGTTAAGGGTTAAGTTTTCAACATTATGATGTCAATAAAAACAAAACAGCCAAAAAGAGATGAGAATAAACCCGTCTAACCTTTAATATTGCATACAATGCTGCAAAAAGAACAAAGCATTTATGGTACTTACAAACTGAATTAATATAATTTAAGTTTTACTGCATCTAGTAATCAACATATTTGAATTTTGCTGCTTTAAGCACTAGAGTTGCAGAATAAAGTAAACAAGTTCCTTGTAACTGAACTGATTAACATTTATAACAATTCCCAAAATATAACGTGAAATGAAACTTCTCTAAAAAAAATCATATAGTACTTTATATTTATATTTACCTGCTTAGCTTCTGTCTGCGCTTTACTTATATCATTTTTACAGGCCATCATTTGACCAGCAAGAGTTGCTTCTGCTCCATCTTCATTGCTGGACAGGCCAGCGGAAACAGCATTGAAGTGCTGCTGCGCAGCAGCCAAAGCTTCAGCATCTTTCTTGCTTGCTTCTTGAAGGGCATGCAGACCATCTGTTATCTTTTTAACCTCTTTTTCCTTGGCTGCTAAAGTTTTAGAGTCCTTTAGGAAGAATTTCAAATTGGAAAATATTATACCTTAAAAAAATTCACCTTCTTATATACATATAACCCTTGTTATCAAAATAAAGAAAATAATTTAACCATCAAAACTTTAAAAATACTAAATTACCATTCTGAAATTCATGCTGTTTGGGATAAAAGTAACTCCTATACTGAAATATTTTCATTCCATATAATAATTAAATCAAGGAGATAGCTTAAAATCATTGCATATTTAAACAAACCTCTTGTAGGAACTAAAAATCAACTTCTAAGGCTATAAAATTGAAATAACAACCATCCTACATTAAGCTTAAAGTAGATTTTAGGATTAAGAATATGTATACAAAAATATTTTATCAACTTAATATAAAGCTTAAATATTAAATAGCTGTGGGAAAAGTATTAATATTTAACATTTTTATGAGATATCTGATACCGTGCAAGATACCAGTACTGGAAAACAAATGAGCTATCTTATTTACATGAAAGTGATTAGAAATTTTGGCCCACTTAATTAGATCATGATTCTTCTAATACTTATTAGGTACTTGTTATCAAAATAAAGAAAATAATTTAACCAACAAAACTTTAAAAATACTAAATTTATGTATAGTAGGCATTGTTCTAAGGTAAGGGAACAAAAAGCAATGGGAACTACTATTTTAAGAAGAATAATAAGGGAAGACCTTTGTAAGATAACATTGAACAGAAGCCTACGAAGTAAGAGGAATGATCACGCAAACACTTGAGGTGGCAGTGTTTTTGACAAGTCCTAAGGAACATGTGCGGGTGTTTGAAGGACTGTATAGCAGCACAGTGAGTAAATGATAAGAAGCTAGAAGTCATACCATAAAGTACCTTGAAGGCCATAGTAATGACTTTGGATTATTATATAGTTGACCTTTAAACATCACAGGGGTAGAGATGCTGACTCCCCATGCAATAGAAAATCTACATTATTAATTTTTGACTCCTCCAAAACTTATTGGCTAACCAAAGCCTCGTTGATAATATTAAAGTTGATTAACACATATTTTGTATGTTATATGTATTATTACTGTATTCTTACAATAAAGCTAGAAAAAAGAAAATGTTTAAAAAAGCGTAAAGAAAATACATTTATAGTATTGTACTGTATTTACTGTTGTAATAAGTTTATAGCAACTGTCTATAAGATAAATCATCTGTTTGAAATGGTGGGCGACCATAGCTGTAGACTTCAATCTACAGTACATTATCAAGCAATTCAACTTTTTTTTTTTGTATTGTCATGATTTCTCTCTGCTTCTTAGGAGCACTTCCAGTATCATCACTAGTGGTATTTTGTACGGGTCCCATGTGATTTATGCTTATGGTACTGCACTAAATATGATGAAAAATATGTGAAAAAAATCTTGAGAGACCACTTTTTACTGCAATCTGCAATTTACTGGGGAGATGAATTCTCATGTGGAGATGATTAACATCACACGATGTCTTAAGCAGATACCATTTGCAACCTGCAATAGCTTTAATTTCCCTTGACTGCAAATAGTGCCATGTACAATTTTTGTTTATGTAAGTTTTGATAAATTTTAACATTTTATAAAATATTTGTTCATATTTTATGGTAGTAAATGATAAATCAACTACTACATATATTTTACCTATTTATGAGATATGCAACTTTTTCTTAATTTTTGCTATTTCTGGCTATGCAGCTTGTCTACAAGTTTTTTCAAGTTGTTGCTAATCTCCAAAATATTTTTCAGTATATTTATTGAGAAAAATCTGCATATAAGTCAATCTGTGCAGTTCAACCGTTGAATGTACATGCAGACTTTGAAACCAAGGAAAGATTTTAAGCACAGGAGAGGTGATTCAGTTGATATTTTGGCTTCTATAAAGAACAGACTACAGAGCAGTAAAAGTAGGACAACTAATAAGGACACCGTTGCAGGAGCCCTCATGAAAGGTAATGGCTCAAAAAAGGTTGGCAGTGACAGAGGTAGCAAAAAGTAGCTATTCTGGATATAAATTTAAAGTCAATAGAATTTGTTGATGGACTGAATATGGATTTTCACGAAAAAGTAGGAATCTGGAAGGGCACTAAAATTTCTGGCCTAAACAATTAGGTACAATTAGGTAAATAGTAGTGCCATTTTCTGACATAAGGAAAATTCAGTAACTCAGGTAGGTTTGGTAAGGTGATAAAAATTTATGAATTCTACTTTGGCTACGTTAAGTTTTATACCTCTTTTTTAGCCATCTAGTTAAAAATGATAATTAAGGCTGGGCTCAGTGGCTCAGCCTGTAATCCTGCGCCTTTGGGAGGCTGAGGTGAGTGGATTGCCTGAGCCCGCGGGTTCGAGACCCGCCTGGGCAGCGAGACCTCATCTCTACAATAAATCAAAAAAAATCAGCCAAGCGTGGTAGCGCATCCCTGTAATTCCGGCTACTTGGAAGGCTGAGGCGGAAGGATCGCCGGAGCCCAGCAGATCGAGGCTGCGGTGGCCGGAAGTGGCCACTGCACTCCAGTCTGGGCGACAGAGTGAGACTCCAACTAAAAAAAAACCAGAAAATGATAATTAAGTAGCTGGACAAAGAAATCTACATTTTGCAGGAAAATTCTTTGAGTGGTCTTGGACTGACTCAGTTCTCTCCCCTTTCTCAATTGTAGTTTTCAAAAACAACTGTAGGATGTGCTAGAAATGCAACATTCTGAGACAGAAAGAGAAAGGCCTGAATAATTCATGTTCTAATTGCAGTTCTCACTGAGAAAAAGGGTGTCCTTTCATGTTTTAGCCCAGCAACCTATGTCACCCTGAGGTATAAAACCCAGGAGAGGTTGCTTTCTGGGTTCCCTCAGCTATAGTACAAATGGAGCACACACAGATGAGATTCCATCCACCCAGAGCAGCCTTGTGGGAAAGGCCTACCAAAAATCCTAGGCTTCTTCTGTCTATTACTACCTATCTGTAAATAATAAATCTGCTTCACATAACTTGTTGCATATAAGTGTGCTGTATATATTGAACACAGACAAGTTGGAACTAGCGCACAGTGAACATGCTTCCCAAAAGTGGCACAGAAAGCAGGATCTGCTTAAAGAATCAGCATACTGACGAAGCTGGAGTGCCCTTATCCCATGATACCTGGCCTGGGGCAGAAATGGCAGTCTGGAGTATCTAGGGACTGAATATGAAGCTGGATGTTTCATGGGGGAAAAGCCATAATAAATGGCACATGTGTCACCACCTCAAGGATGTGAATGAGCTAGCTGCATGAATTAAGGCAGAGAGAAAGAAACATAGAAATAGGGGAGCTCAGCACATGATACCCTGGTTGTTAGACATGTAATTGCTCATTTCCAGAGCAGGAGAGCTTGGGAAATGGGTACTCAGACAGATTCTTGAGAAGGTACAGGAAAGAGGTACTCAGTGCCTAAGGCATCCAAGAGGGAACCAAGACATACAATTCAGGCCTTCACAGAAAGGGAGGCTTACTATCTAGAGGGCAAATATAGACAAAGGGCAGGAAAGACATATGCAGTCTGGCTGAAGTGTTTGACAAAGGGATACTACAGATCCACATGGCTGAATGGTACAGTTAGGAGTAGGACCAAGGTCTCCAGGTCCCCACCAGAGGACAATGGCCCTCTACTTTTGTCAAGATGAAGCAGAAAAAGAAAATTAGGCTTTCTGGAGTTCTTGGATATTGGAGCCCATATAACAATATTTTCAGGTCTCCTCAGAGGGAAAAAAATTCACCTGTTGACAATGGGAGGTTTTGAGACTAACACAATGACCCCAGTATGCTTATCAGTTATGAGTGGGACTCACTGGGTCACTTTGGGTGCCAGCGACCATAGTTCCCATCCCTAAGCGCAATGTGGACATTGATATTTTGGGTGCTTATGGCACAGACATTACCAGCACCTGAGGAAGTATGCCCCTTACAGTTAAGGATTTGAGCCACAGCAGCGGTACATATCCTAAACTACCCAGGACACAATGGGTTATTCAAAAAAAAAAAGCAATACTGCATACTAAGTGGATAATAGGACATTACTTTGTTAATTTGAAATCTGCTACAGATAAAAATGTCGCAACAGGCCAGTCTAGTTTGGCTAGTCAAAAAGGCCTCTGGGTCACAGAGACTAACTATGGACTGTCACAGGCTGAATATCAACTGAATGGGAAGTCAAGGAAGTACCCCAGATATAGTCAAACAAAAATTACTGGCCCTGATGGCACTAATAAAACAGAAGCCCAACGGCTAGTAGGCCTCTTGGGTACCATGCTCAGCATGTACTCCACTTGGGTGTTCTCTTTGCCCCCTTAGTTAAGGTTACCAACAAAACTGTCAACTATGAATGAGATCCTTTGCAGCAGCAGACCTTGGAAGTCATTTAACAAGTTGTGATCCGGACATTACTTTTAAAACTTTTGTAACCTGCGAGCCTGATGCAATGACAGGCATCCACAACCTCTATGCATGCTGATTGAAGTCTGTGGCAATAGAAAATTGCTACTAGGTTATACTAGCCTCTCAGATTTGGGACTTTAAGTTGCCAGATAGATCCTTTTTGAATGGCAATTTTTGCTTGCTATTGTGCACTGGTGAAGACTGTGACTTAAGGCCTGAGTGCCACATGAGACTTGGCTACTTGAACTGCCTATTCTTACTTGAATGCTTACAAACCCCACAAATAAATGTGGTAGGTTCAACTGAGCTCAGTTATCAAATGACACTGGTCCTAAACCAGGGAAAGTGAGGACCAGTTAGAGGCCCAAACTTCACCTGCACATACATTACTTATGTACCTAATCCTAACTTATATCCCACATCTTTATAATAAATAAAGTGTGTGTGTGTGTGTGTGTGTGTGTGTGTATGTATGTAAACAAAAAACCAAAAACAAGATCAGGCTCAGCTGGATCCCCAAGGAACCAGCAGCCTCCATGAAAAAATGGCTAGCTTACTAGAAGGGCCCAAGCAGTACACAGGGTCTATTTCGGCTTTTCCTCTGGCTACCTGGGGACCAAAATTCTGAGATATGCCTACTAGTGGTATGACAAGGTATACAGTGGTATGATATGGTGTACAAGTCCATCAAATAAAGCAGAAGGAGTTCACTGGACTGCAGCCACCGTCAGGTCATTGAATGGCCATCTTCTAATTTAGACTGAACATGAACATTCTGCCCAATGGGCCAAACTATATGCCATGGAGATGTCCATTCAGGCCACCCCTACCACCATATCTTGCTACATTTTCACCAACTTATTAGCTGTTGCCAACAGCCTACCCATCTGGTCAGGAGAATGGCAACTGAGTGACTGCACTGTCAAAAGATACCCCATGAGAAGACAACAACTGGCAACAGCTTGCTGCCTGAAAGGGACAAATATGTCACTCATGTGGATGCTGATGCTACCAAGGCTACTCTTGAAAGGAATTAATGTCATACTTTTGGATACCCCATCACACATCCCTCTGACCAAGGAACAACCTTCATTGCCCAAGAGACACGACAACGGACACACCCTCATGGAATACAACCGACTTTTCATGAACCCTGTTATCCACAGGTCAATGGAGTCACTGAACAATGGAACAACTGACTCATTAAACAACTGAAGAATATCAAGACGGCCTGCTAATGAGGTAGTACCACCACCTGACTAGGGCATCATGAATACTAGACACTGTACCTTAACACAAGGGAAACAGAGTACTGCAATGCATACCGAGAAACACTGAACTTGCTGGGAGTGGAGGTGGACCAGGCAGCCATCTGATTAGGCTGCACCCATGAAATACCAATCTCAGTGTTTCCAGTCATTTTTTTGTACCTGTAAAATCCCAGCATCAGTGTTCCCACCATTCTTTTTCCTTTTTGCCTTTGGGGTAGCTTGTGGTTCAAGCAGCCATAGTACCGACTGGGCCCCTAATTATGCAATCCCGCTGGGGTGGGGGACAGGAGTCCTAGAGGTATCTCTAACAGGGCCAAAACATCTGATCCTTCTAGTCAAGTAGACAATGTATTAGACATGTCAGATTTGTACAGTACGTGACTTCCTGTACTGGATTGAACAACTAAGGACAAGCCACACGGACACTGGGTGTCACAGGTAGTAACCCCAGGACAGATACAGACACACTGAGTTGCTACATCCTCTCAGCCCTATAATAGGCAGAGAATACCTGAGATCCCAGGATAGGTAGAAGGTAGAGCACTAACTCGTCACTGTGTTATTTCCACAAGAATGTGGCAGCAGAGACCTGTAAGCATAGCACCTATGCTATACTCCCCCAGTTGTGGACACTCAAGAAACCTGACAAAATGCTGATAATGATATCCTAGACCTATTTGTCACAGATGGTAGTCCTGCTAGTAACAAACTACATTAGTATTCCTAACACCACGGTGTACACCAACAGACCCTAAGTTCTACACAGCACATCTTTTTTTTTTAATTGTGACTATTTTAATATTCCATCGCTTCGTCCTCCACAGTGCCATTTAAAAGAATATAAAAATTTCCATTCAATAGACCAAACAACACAATAAAGTTTCCTGAAGCTACTCTTACAATGACGACACAAACTTATTATAGCACAAGGGAAGAGAATAAAGCAATGCATGTATCCCTTCAGAAAATTTGTATTTTAAATATGCAAAAAGAAATAAAATATGGATGTTTACTATATTTAGACTAACTGGATACCAATGACAAGAGACGGCAAAATAGTCCAACTTGATGTAACTCATTTTAACAAATGTAGTTTTCCCAAATTAAGGGATCATTGAGTGCATAAGATGCTTTATCTGCAGATGACAAGAATATTTATTTCCTTTAATATTTATTTAAATATAGTTTTCTGATTTCTAAAAGATTTTCTAGGTTAAAAATGCTTCGAAAAGAAACAGCATGTCTTTCACTGCTTCAGTCCAGCGTTTTATGTTAGCCAGGGTAGAAAACCCAGAGAAGGTTGCTTTCTGGGGTCCCTCAGCAGCAGTACAAGTTGGGCACTTGCAGATAAATTCCACCCACCCTGGGCAGCTTTTCTGAGCCTTGGGGGACCTGCTAACAATGAATCCTAGACTTCTGTTTTCCCTTGCTGCCTATAAGTAATAAATCCACTTCATGTAACATGTGTATGAGTGTATTTTGTGTTACTGGCCTCAAGCAAGCTGGTAACAAGTGCACAATAAACACCTGCTTCACAGAGTTCAGGTAAATAATTAAGCACAGCTATAGACTTGAAAGGCATCAACAGATAGATGGTATTTAGAACTACAGGGAGTATATGGAGGATTAACTGAGTGCTAACCCCAGTGCATGCTACCATGTAAAGATCAGGAAGAATAAAATACACAAAAGAAGATGAAAAAGGACCGATCAGTGTCACCACATGAAGTTTAAGGACCTGACAGGATTAAGTAAAAATGAATTAAAACAAAGGCAGGTTCATATCTTTAAAGTTCTAAAAACCTCATTAAAAAAAAATGATGAACTGATTTCAACTATTGGGTGCTGCTACAACAACAGACTGCTATATCACATTCATAATGTCTTGACATTCTGTCTAAAGTTTTACTATACTGTTCAATGAAAAGGCAAATATATATTTTCTTTTTTTTTTTTGAGTTGGAGTCTCACTCTGTCGCCCAGACTGGGGTGCAGTGGCCACTCCTGGCCACCGCAGCCTCGACCTGCTGGGCTCCAGCGATCCTTCTGCCTCAGTCTTCCAAGGAGCTGGAACTACAGGAACACGCTACCACGCCCGGGTAATTTTTGATTTATTGTAGAGATGAGATCTCACCAAGTTGCCCAGGCGAGTCTCGAACCCGTGGGCCTCGAACCCACGGGTTCAGGCAATCCACTCACCTCAGCCTCCCAAAGGCGCGGGATTGCAGGCTGAGCCACCGAGCCCAGTGAATATATATTTTCACTAGGACAACAGAATCACCACCTAGAGAAGTTCCACAAAGTCCTATCACACACATCTCATTTACCTGCATATGAGATGAGATTCTTGATTCTCTTGTTACTATGGATGGCTTATTCCTACTCCTTGCAAAAGTAGATTCCTCTAACTGTATACTAGTTCCTATTCTACTTTCACCTATGGAAGGACCTTATTTTAACAACTGTCCCATCTCTCTTCTGAATCACTAGTGATGCCATTTCTATTGGATCTTTCTTTCTTTCTTTTTTTTTTTTTTTTTGAGTTGGAGTCTCACTCTCGCCCAGACTGGAGCAGTGTCCGCTCCCGGCCACAGCCTCGACCTGCTGGACTCCGGCGATCTTTCTGCGTCAGCCTTCCAAGTAGCCGGAATTACAGGCATGCACTACCACGCCCGGCTGATTTTTTGATTTATTGTAGAGATGAGGTCTCGCTGCCCAGGCAGGTCTTGAACCCGTGGGCTCAGGCAATCCACTCACCTCAGCCTCCCAAAGGCACAAGATTACAGGCTGAGCCACTGAGCCCGGCTTATTGGATCTATCAAAATACAATTTATTAGTTATCCCATGTAAAATCAAGCCACAAAAACTCTCTTCTATATTACCCTCCAGTAAGCTCCCTATTTGTCTTCTCTTTCCAGAAAACTTTTCGAAAAGTTATCTCTTTAAAAGTTTCTGTCCTCATTCTGTGAGAATGTAAACATTCTAATAAAGAACTCAAGGTCACTTCTCCTTGAAACACCTTTTTCACTTGGCCTCCAGGACAATTTACTGGCCTAGTTTTCCTTGTACCTATTCAATTTCTTTGGTCATTCTTCCTCATGCACCCAAACTCCTAAGCTTTAAGTGTCCCAGTGCTCCAACCTTAGGTCTCTTCTTATATATATTCATACCCTGAACTTTTACCTAGTCTCATAGATTTAAATATCAACTATAATTGATGACCCCCAAATCTTTTGCCTGAATTCAATATTCATATACTCAACTACCTGATCGACATCACCACTCAAGGTATATAACAAGCACCTCAAGCCTATTATATTCATACCATATTTCTTGCTCTTATCAAACCCAGTCTTCCTATTTTCCACCTTAGCTAATGGTAACTCATTCAATGGCTACCCAATTCAAAAATCCCAAACTGCACCCTTCTTCTCCATGCTGCTAATTTCCTTTCCTGCTTAATTTTTTCTCCACATCAATTATCACTATATATCATACTATATATTTTATTTCATTCTTTTTTTTTGCCTGCTGGCCCAAAAGACCTTTAAATGGTTTTATTGTGTTCTCTGTGCCACGTGATCTTGACACTATCCCATCACAGAACACTGACCGTAGTTTTTCTCATCACTGCAATATTAGACATCACCTCTGAGGCCCCTGTGGTCCCTGCTCAAGCCAGGAGAGTGAGGGAGAAGCACTGTCCTCTGGCTTTCAAAGTCAAGCAGAAGTTCTGCCAAATTCTACACCTTAGCTGTCTCACTTCTCTCCTGCCCAGCCTGAGCTAAGCTGCCACTGCTCCCCCCACCATCTTGCTCCTTCTAGGTATAGCTGCAGCACAGCTGGGGTGAACATGGAAAGGTACACATCAGGTATCATTCTGCTGCCACCACAAGCCTCCATTAGTCCTTGTGAGAAATCTGAAATCTGGCTCTTTTCTGCTTATCCCAGAGTGAAGGGAGGCTACCTTTTAATTTTCTTTATCATCATTTCTCCCACTGGAATGAAGACCCACAGGGAGAGGACATTTGACCATTTTTTTCCACTGCTGTAAACCCAGTTCAAACAACTGCGCTTAGCTCATAGCAGACACTCATTAAATATTAATGGAATGGATACATGTGCATTAGTAGCAAATTAAACTTTTTATTGCTTACCTCAACCATATTTTTTTCCAGCTCTTTACGTTTATTTTCTTCACTTGCCAGATTTTTCTTCTTGAGATCAAATGCACTTTGAGATTTAGTATTAACTCGCTGAGCCTCTGCAAGAGCATCTTCTAAAGATCGAAGTTTACCACCAATTTCCTGTAATCAAATGCAGCCAATTAAATCTTATTTAACATTTGTTCATATTGTCATTTTCTTGTACAATTTCTATATTTTTATACGCTATTTCATTTCTTTAAGACAATGCCTAGTGAATCATAGCTGTATATAATTTAATACTTTTCAGAGTATTTTATCTGTTCTAATTCATATGTCCTGACCTTATCTTTTCTTTTTTCCAATTCTTCTATTTCATGATTAAGTGCCTTTATTTTTTTATCATTCTCAGATAATTCTTCTTGAAGCTTTAAAATTTTATCCTCCATTTCTTTTAACTCCTCAGCTGAGCGTGCTTTGGTATCTTCAGCCAGCAAAAACTGATAAGCGATATATAAACGACTCAAATGTTCTATTTCTCTCATTACTTTTTGATACTCCAAGTAGGAAGATCTTTCCTGAAAAAGAAGTCACCAGTAAAGAATAACTTAAAATTTACATTTAAAATATTTGGGAAGAATTAGACCATAGCAATATATTAAACAGGCACAGCATTTTAAGTTTTAAGAAACTTTACATAATAAAATTTCAGCTGTTTGGATAGCATTATGTCATCTCCAGTGAAGCTTATGTGGCTGTTTCTTCTAATATATAATCAGGCAGTTAGGTTTAACTAAGAAATGTGTACACAAGGCTCACAAACTGGTGGTAATAAGCCTATAGCAATAACCACAACCTATGAACCCACCAGTGATACACTGTTAAGTGTATTCTGTAGTTGTATTACCTAATATTCTTTCAAGCACTACTATAAAATTTTGTTCACATATTACTAAAGTTGATTCCCATAAAACTGGAGCAGAGTAACAACTAAAATCCCTAATGTGCAGATGAAGAAAAAAATCAGAGTGGTTAAATAACCTGTTTTCAAATTTAGAAAGAAATGTGGCATAATCAGGTCAGAAACCTAAGTTTAAATTCCTAACCTAGTGTTTTCTACTAAATCATGTATACCAAGAGTGCTTTCAAGATCACAATCTTTCAGTTTTTCCATTAATATACTAACATCTTCACTACTATATGGATTCTGAAGACAGTTTTGAGTAGTACCAAACTTCAACAAGCATTTAATAAATTCCAAAATGGATATTTTTAAAAACAAGTTTAAAGTTTACAAGTGCAGTCTTTCACTGAAACATTGCCAAATTTTATAATACCAGGAGCCGCAAAACAGAGGAAACCTAATCCACTGTTTCAATACTTTTCACATATAAAATGTCTTGACAGCAATAATCAATGATAACCCCCTTACTCTAGAAGTTACTCACTCTACCCATGAGGGTTACAAAATCCAGACTTGCTTTGCCTCAATAAAGTATTATAACTTAGCATATCATTTTCTGAAATATAAACACCAATCTTCAGTATCATTATAACAGCAGAAATAAAGTACACATCCTCTGCTAGCAGAGTGACGAGGTGAGTTATGGAGTTGGAATCTTAGCCCTAACTTCTTATCCCATGCCAGAAAAAAAACCCCAAGAAATAGTATATACTTTGTCCCTATGTTTAGGATTTTGAATACATCACCAACTTTGAAAGACATTTTACCCAGCTATCCTCACATACACAGCATATACCTCTTTTAATTTTTGAATGGTTGGTGTAATCTCTTCTTCAAGTATCTGAAAAATAAAGAAAAATCAATATTTTCAGTATGTAAAGTACCATTACATACTGAAACTTTTGTAAAGAGAAGTAGCATGAAGACTATGGAAAACTGAGTTGAGAAAAAAAAAATGTCCTCCTTACAGCAAAAACCCTGAATGCAAAGTCACACACTTCTCCAAAAATATTTATATAAATTTAATTACCGTCTTAATTTCTTTTAGCTTAGCCTCCTTTTTTTCTATAGTTTTCTGGGCAGCTATTTTTTTGTATTCATACATCTTGGTTCCAGCTGCTTCTTCTATCATGGATAAAATCTGGAATGACAATTTTATTAATGCTTTAAAAATCCAAGACAATGTGTTTCATTGGAACTTACATTAAATAGATTATTTACAGCCTTGACCTCACAAAGCATCTTACCCAAATAATGGCCCAAAAGAATCATAAAAGTTAAACACAGTAGCTTCACACAAATATTTTTCTATAGGCATTTTCTGTAGGGCTGAATCCTGACATAGAACACCAGTTGAGCAAAGCTAATTTACACAAAGTTAATTTTAATATTGGGCATAGTGCCAAATTTTACATTACACAAACATTCTTTACAAATCGTTCTTAAATAAATGTTTCCAAAAATTTTAATAATGGAATTATATTAAAAAACTGATTGGCTGGAAGATTAAAATAATATCTATATTTACTATTTTTGACATCCATAAATAATACTCTTACCTCTGGAGGTTTCATATTCAATACTTTTGTAATTCGGCCCTGAAAAGAAAATGGCAAACTTACTATAATGACAAATTACAAAAGAAATGTAATCTAAAGGCTTCTTGTTTATCTGTACTGAAGCTGTTATACCTTAATATAACAATTTTTGGAAAGGTCTTTCTTCTACCTACATGAAAAAAATATTTCTTTTGTTAGAGTTGAGACCAAAGGTATCTCATAATTCAAGAATTTTGGAACCTTGCTATTCACTGTCTCAATTACCAGTGATACAAATTATATGTTATTAAATGTTACAAATAAAATTACTTAATAAATGATACAAAGTAAACAAGACCAAGTTTCTAAGGCGGCTAACATTAATGATACAAAGTTATCCAATTTTAAAACAGGTAGGTATAAAAATCAATTTTAGCATAAATAATGAATTTTTAAAATTTTTTTAAATGATAGCCCTTTGACCGGGTTCGGTGACTCAGGCTGTAATCCCAGCACTTTGGAAGGCCAAGGTGAGGACTGCCTGAGCCCGTGGGTTCGAGAACTGCCCGGGGGAACTTGGCGAGACTTCATCTCTACAATAAATCAAAAATAGCCGGGCGTGGTAGCGTGTACCTGTAGTTCCAGCTACTTGGAAGGCTGAGGAGGAAGGATCGCTGGAGCCCAGCAGGTTGAGGCTGCGGTGGCCGGGAATGTGCCACTGCGCTCCAGCCTGGGTGACAGAGTGAGACTCCAACTCAAAAAAAAAAGTGATAGCCCTTCAAGATAATTTCATAAAATAGATAATATATTTCTAGGCCTCTAACAGAACAATAAAATATTTTCTGCTAGAAAACTATTAAATTACTCATTACCAAAAACAAATTAAAAACGTACACATCCACGTCTCAGAAGATCATATTACTAGGATACAGATTCATGTGAAGTATATTTTCAGCTTTGAATTTGTGATGTAGTGAAATATTTGTGTTTTCGTCCGCAACAGAATCTTTCCACTGACCTTACTGTGATTCTCCCAAAGGATAGGTAGTAGCTCAAATGAAACAATGTGAATGCAAGATAACATCAGCTTTTACTTTTTATTTGCATACGTCTCTAAACAAAAAAATTATTCTTGCTGTTTACTTGACATATCAAAAATACTTTAATAATTTAAAAGGATATGTGACAATCTTTTAATAATTAACATGTATTGCTCTATCAGTGACAAAATAAGGAAAATTATTTCTAAATATTCTCCAAAATTCAAATGTATATAATATGGTAGAACACATCAGTGCAAATAACTAAACCACATTTCTTAATAGGTGGCCAAACAGCACAACAGTAAATAAAAAATGGAAATCCAAAAAAGGGGGCACTTCTCTTACTGTAAAAACTTACAACTTAAGGATATCAAAAACATTATGAAAGAGAAATGAAGACCTCAACAAAAATACCTGCATGATGAGAAAGTGAGGGTTGTTAACATTAAGGCCAACAGAACAGAAGAGATCCTGTACTCTGGTGTTGTTTGCATTTACTCCATTGATTAAATATTTATTTCTGCCACCAATAACCACCTACAAAAGGAAGCATTTTAAAAAAACGTAAATGTACATGCACACTTTAAATGACAAATGACCAAGCAGATTACCTTACACTTATTTGTTTTATCCAACTAGGGGTCAACATAATCAATTCTGTGTAAACAGTAGAAGAAGCGTGACATAGGTGAAAACACTAACTTGAGTAAGGACAATTAGCATTCAATCCAGGTACTAATCACACACAAGCCTCCCTGGTATTGGAGTAGGTCTCTAAGGTTACTTCTAGCTTTATGTTTCCAAGTATATGTAATATATATTTCCCTTTCCTATTCGCCTTCTTTCTGTAATTTTTCGACACCACTGAGATAGAAGACAGCAACTAAAAGCTAAAGAAGAGCAGCTTGACATCAATTCAAGATTCTAAAAGGCATTAAAAAGACATGATTTGTGATCACTTAAAAGAAAGAGTAATCATGGAACTTCAACATGGATTCATTAAAAACAAGTCATGCCAAACAACAGCTGGTTCTTAAATTCACACTTAAATTGTCATTTATTGGGTATGATTGTCTCACCCACAAGATTTTGAGGTCCTTAAACACAAGATCTGTTTCTCATTCTTCTATCTGTATATCCCAGTGCATTCAAGAACATCCAGTACACATCAAGCACTTAGTAAATATTGAATATATGTTAATTTCCTTTTCTGACAGAATTGTTAGGTTGGTAGTTCACATATTAATATATTTGAACAATAGACCTAGTATACCCACAAAATAATTTCTTTCACAAGAGCTTTAAGACAAAATGTTGGTGAAGATACAGGTTTCTAGCCTGAATGAGGACATGAACAATTAGGTTCGTTAACAACAGTCTTAGTGACAAATCCTAAAAAGTAAATATTCAGTGGATGACTAATGGCAAAGAACAGAGTTCTGTCCCAACCTACTCAACATTTTTTTTTTTGTGAGACTTTCATTAAAATAAAGGATAAAATATATGTGACATAGTGCTAAGATGGAGAGTAAAGGGGAGTTGACAGAATTTTTAAAGACAAAACTTTGGCAAGTTGAAAACATTTCTTGAACAAACTTTAGTAGACACACATGCAAGGTCCTGCATTGGTTTCAAAATGCCAGTATATACAAAATGCCAGTAAATACAAAAATGCCAGTAACAAAGCAAAGTAATAACACACCCTAAAAACAACTAGAGTGGTTTCAAGTAAATCTGGTATGAATCCACAATGTATTATGAACACGAAAATTTCATATTAAGAAAAACAGGAATATCTAAAATGAAGTAAGCAATAATTCTGCATAATTCTGTTCTAAGTGGATCAATTCTGCTACACTCAATTAGAGGCGTTATACATTTTTAAAAATAGATGGATGAGGAGCAGGGAAGGATAGGAGCATACTTGGTAGGAGCAGGCAAGTGAGAGAACTAGAAACAATAATCAAGCGAAAGACCTGGCAAAATTTCACATAAAAAACACTTATACTTGCAGACCATTTAAATGTTGAAACATAGAATAAATTAGATTTGTCTCAGATACTCTCAAGAGGACCAGGTTTAATGTGTAAACATGTAAGTCATAAGACAGCAGATTTTGGCTGAATTCCTATTTCTAATGAGGCCTGTCCAAAAACCGAATGGGTTATCTCAGAAGATAGCAAGATCTGAGGTACAGGAGATGTTCAAGTACCATCAGAGAAGATTCAAGTATGGTTCAAGATTTAAGCATGGTGGAGTTCTTATACTGAATAGGTAACTTTTCAGACCTCTTTTAATCCTCTCAGTTAATGGTGGAATTTGCATGACCAAAATTTTACTGTAAGAAATATATTCGTAAACTAGTCAATATTTGATGCATTAATTATACACACAAATGTTCTCACTGGAGCACTTTTTGCAAAGTCATATTGCCAAAGACACAGCAGACATGAAAGTTCTTAGCATATCCAAATATTTAGTAACCACTCACCTGTCTTGTTACTGTGATTTCATCATGAACCTCAAATCCTAAAGGGCTTTGCTTTTTGTCAGAATTATCAAAAGTGATTGACACTGAAGCTTTGGTAATACCAGCCTGCCCATTTTTGTAAACTAAATCTTGTAAGTTAGAAGCCCGAACCTAATAAAAAGAAGAAAAGTTTATCAACTGCAAAATTCCATATTGCACAGTTATATAACTTAAGAGGTTGAACCTTAGGCAACTCCTCTAAGCTTTATTTTCTCATCTAACAGATGGAGTATTACATTTCTTAAAAGTCTGCAATGAGGTATAAGACAATTCACATAAAGTATAAAACACAAAGAGAATACTGGCAATAGTCTCCCAAGTTCAGTGTGGATTCCCTTGCCAAACTTAAATTTACACAAATCAGAAAGTTTACACTTTACCTGAGACAGGTTGGAGATGCCCAGTAAAAAGCAGATGGAGTCCAATATGTTGGATTTTCCACTACCATTTAAGCCAGTGATAGCATTGAAGAGGGGGTCAAAACCATTGACTTCAGTTCTCTGAGCATAGGACTTGAATCCCTCAAGAATAATTGACTTGATATGCATTTTCAATACTACCTTGGGTCAGTAAACCTCTGCTAGGAATCAAACAGGCCACAAACCAGTTCTGTACAAACAGAAATAACAACCACGGGAGAGGAATGTAAACTTAGAATTGTGATAAATGTGACAGACTAAAAAAGGAATCGTAGGGCGACAGAAAAAAAACCAGTCCCCTGTCATATTACCTTCTCTAATGTAAAGATATCTTTCACCTACTAAAAAATATACAAATTAACCACTATCTAGAAGTTAAACCATTCAACCTGAAAGTCATAACAGTTTACCACCTCTCCTATTTTTTCCAGGTTTGCCTTCCACTATCTCATACTCTAACTATTAAAGACTACTGGTTATTTCATAGTCTGTTCTCTTTGTGTATAATGGGATTCTCGATACTAGTATAGCTCACTCTTCTTTACTGAACTCATGTCTCTGCTCAAACGTCACCTTACTGGGGTCTTTCCTGACTTCCCTATATAATAGAGCACTTCTACTCATACCCCCACAAGGTTTTCATTTAAATGCATGCACTTAAAGTTGACACTACACGGTATTAACTTGTCTATCCAACACAGCCTAAGCGCAGGGTCTCTGCCGATATCCATCGTGTGCATCGATGTATTTAACGAATAGTGCTTGGCTCTGTGGGGAAGGGAAATCATATGCATTTAGTAAAGAGGTGACATTAATCTCATATTCTCCAGTTTCTTGCTTTTATTCAGATTGTTAACTCGTCGCCTCGGGTCTTTCTGTCTACACCTCTTCGCCCTACCACAAAGCCTTATAGGAGTTAGCATTTATTCCTAATTATCGTCCGAGGTACCCTTTTGCTATTAGTTCTCTTCCCACCCCCCACCTCCCACTTCCATCAGAAAGCCAAGCCAGGCCCGGCTGGCCGCGCGCTCCCGCCAGCCTCACCGCTGCCTCAGGCCGGGACTCGAGGAGCCCCCAGATCTCCTCCGGTCACAAAGACGGGGAGAGACGCAACACCCTCGTAGCAGGTGCTACAAGACGAACTGCACCATAGCAGCTGCAACATCTGCCCACCACACTCAACACCCGCGCCGGAACTATTTATTCCTTTGAATTTCGGCGCGAGCAAAGGACCCCACCTCCGCGGCCCATTTCCTTTGTTGGTGCCTAGAGACTGCCTGACTTTACGACTCCATCTTTTCCCTGCATTTGAAGGACCGAAGCGACACAGAGATATAAAGGAGAGTCTTGATTATGTCAGCTTCAGGTATGCAACGGTGCGGGCCAAGAAACGAAAGGAGCTGGTGGTTTGTGTTGACACCGGCGTCAGGCACGCTTCGGTCAGCTCCACACCTCGGCCTCGGGGCCTCGCGCTTCGTCAGCCCCGCCCCGTCTCAGGCCCCTTCACTTCGCGAACCGCGCCCTGCAGACTCCGCCTTCCCGAGGGCGTGGCAGTGGGTATGGTTGCGAACTTCTGTTATCTCAGGCGGAGGCTGAGTGGCGAGGCTTCTTCTGAACTTTCACGTTCGTTCTGTTTCGGCAACTTCAGAATCTTCTAGGGTTGGCTCAGATTCCTAAAAGATGAAACTGTACTTTGTGGGGGCTGGGGAGGGTTGGCCCTCGGGGTACTCTGACTCCGCCCCTGTCTGGCCTCCGACCCTGGCTGGCCTCCGACCCTGGCGGGCCTTTTTATCTGATTTCCACGTCCATAAGGGACGGTACTCTCTCAGCTGTTCTGAGCCCAGGGGAGAAATTGTGCGCGGCGCCGGGTAGTAGGTGTTAGACAAATAGGTGTTCACCTCCTTCTGTGAAAAGCTGTGTGATGACAGGCCGACTTAACATTTTAGGGATTTTTTTTTTTTTTCTTCTGGAATCCTTAGGACTGCTCGTGTTTATTGAATTCTGTGTGTCAGGCCATGTTTTTTAAAATCCTCGTAGCAACCCTGTGAATTCTGATATTCTCATTTTGCAGGTGAGTAAAATGAGTCCCAGAAAGGTTAAGCAACTTGTCTAAGTAGTACTCAGAAAAGCTGGGATTTGTTCCCAGTCTCGCTCCAGCGCGCTTGCTCGTTAAGTATGATATATTATACTCCGTGCATAGAGTACTACTAATAACTGATCCTGTTTGTGTATCCGATTTATTCTTTCCTTAAGAAGAAAAAATATGTCAGATTTACTCACGTTGGAGCACATTGATACTAATGAGTCAGGAAGCACTTAGCTCCAGAATGGGTATGACGCTATCCTAGATGAGGTACAAAAAGATGGAGTGGCCAACAGTGCTATTTTAGGGTATCTTAGTCCTTTTGGGCTTCTGTAACAATATGCCGTAGACTGATTAGTTTATGAACCACAGAAGTTTATTCGCCACATTTCTGATTTCTGGGAAGTCCAAGATTAAGGCAGCAGCAGAATCAGTGTTTTGAGGGTTCCTTTTTGGTTGGTAGATGATGACTTCTAGCTCTGTCCTCACATAGTGGAGAGAGCGAAGGAGCTCCCTTGGGGTATCCTATAAAGGCACTAATCCCATTCATTACCTCCCCAAAGACCCTCCTGCTAATACCATCACATTGGGGGTTGGGATTTCAATGTGTGAGTTTGGGGGATACATTTAGATGATAGCATTGGACACGTAATTTGAAGTTGTTTTCTTGGTCCTGGAACAGCTTTGAATATTCTCAGCCAGTCTGAAACTACCAAGAATGGGCCTAAATTTGGAAATTTTCTTCTGAAGGAATTAGATAAGTTTTAAAGGTATTTTTGTTTATTTTAGAAAAAAATTAGTTTACCCTGATATGCTACCCACTTCTGTTTTCTACTTTGATTTCTGCATCCTCTCCTCTCCTTAGCTATTCATAGAGTATTGATTCTATTGACTCTTAGACATTTACTTTCAGCAGTGTTTCCTTTTATCACTTTGTGAGTAAAGAATCTTAATTTGCCAACAAATCCTAATGTGGACTTTGTCAAACTGTGAAATAAAATATTATTTGGGATAAAGATATAAGTGTCAAGACGTATTATTAACCTTTGCACTTTAATAACTATCTGATATGTTTATGTCAAATGAATGAAAACTTATATCTAACTGCACTTTTGTTGGATAAGGACTTTTGAGTGTTTATAAGATTGTACACATCTTAACTACTCCTATTAAGACCATTTATTTAAATGAAAATTGCCTTTAAAAGAAGAGTTCTCTATCAATTTTCATCTTACTGCATGCCAGAAACACTAGGGAATTGCTGTTAAATATAGGCCAGATGGACTTGAGGATATCACTAATAGCTAACTTACAATCTGCCTCCTGAGATCATAGGTAAGTGGAGAAGACTAAGACAGAAAGCCAATAATATCCCCTAATTTGAAGAGGTGAGACCTGGAAACAGAGACTGACTGTAGGGTAGATGTAGTATAAATAAAACACTGTTCTTATCTCATCATCATGAATTAAAATATTTTGAAAGCTTCAACACTGGCAGGCAATGCTCCAAGCAGAAATTTGTTAGCTAGTGGAGTCTTAGTCCTTATGTAGTAGGCATCAGCACCAGCAAGAACACAGATAAAGGCATAAAGCGGGACCCAGAAGAAAGATTTGGTCTTCTACTCTCCCAGGAGATCAGAAGGGACCCTCTCTTTCCCTGAGTGTACTTTGCAGGCACATGATTGAATGAATCCTCTCTCCCTGGAACTTAGAATAGAAGAAAAAAAGAAAAAGAAAGGGGTGATTCATTTTGTAGAGAGTTTATTTTGGAGTTCAAGAAGATGAACTTGACAATGATAGGGAGTTTATATTAAGTTGTATTGAGTAGCAACACGTTTTGAATATAGTTATGTGCCACATAACATTTGGGTCAACAACAGACCTCATTATAGTCCCATAAGATTATGATGGAAATGAAAAATTTCACCTAGTGAAGTGGTAATGTCATAGTACAATGTATTGCCTTCTGTGTTTAGATATACAAATACTTAACCATTGTGCTACATTTGCCTACACTATTCAGTGGAGTAATATACTGTACAAGTCTGTAGCCTAGGAGCAATAGCCTGAGTGTGTAGTAGGCTATACCTGCTAGGTGGGTAAGTACACTGTGATGTTTGCACAACAAAATCACCCAACAAGGCATTCCTCAGAACCTATCTCATCGTTAAATGATGTGACTCTTTTATTTCTAATACCATATTGTTTGGACCATGACTCACTGAGTATTACCTGTCTTACAAACTTGGAAAGAAATACAGCTATGCATAATTAAAAATGAAGAATAGAAAAGGTGATTATATTCATTCACTTATGGGATCTGCTTGGACCCATTCATTTTCATTTTAATGGCAATACTATTTTCAAAAGCACATATTCTTTTTGGCTCTGTGAAATCTGCCTACTCTTTCATTATGATTTCTAATATTTTGTCTCTTTAATCCAATTTAATGTCTTTATTTTTATCTTCTTTTCTGGCTCATAGTGATTTATTTCCTCATGTGATGTTCTTCTTCAGTGGGGTTGTTTTGTTTATGGAATCTGCTATACCCGAGTTGTGAAAGAGTCCCTTCAGAGCAATTAGGCATTTGCCTCTGCCAGTATACTTTGTCTCTTAAAGATCCTGAAGCATTTTTAAATGATAATTTCTCAGTTTGTGGTTCCTGAATTATGCAGATATTGTAAACTGAGGTTAGGGTTGAGGTCTGTTGCAGGACTGGAGTTTTGATTTCCTACAGGTAACTTTTGTTTTTTTCTCCTTAACCAAAGGTCCATCAAAGAATAAACTTCCTAGTCTCTTCGCCAGACTGATATGTTACATTTTTTTAGTTCCAGTGGCTGGCAGTTCCTAAGGCTTCAGGTTTTACCGAAGGGCTTACTTAGTTCCAGCTCCTCCACCTCACCAAAGCTCAAGGCCTTATGCTTGGACATTAAAACCCAACAAATGGCTCCTGAGACAGATAGCCAAATATAAAATATTGGAATGCTACCGTGGTATCAGTTCTGCTTTCTGTTCTTCAATTTTTTCAATTTGTTTCTGGCACTGAGAATTTCCTTTTTGTTGTTTTCTTGTTTTTGAGGTTGCATATGGTTTATGTAACACTAGTTCTATTTTATCCAGTATTTCTATGAGCTTATAAAGGGAAACTCAGTCAACCTTTTTGAAAGAGAACTTCTCATTTACTCTTCATGAAGAATATCATTGATCTTTGTTTTGTTCCTCCTGAGCCTTGCTTCCATATTCATTCCATATTCAAAGTTGCTTGTCGTAAAAACAGTAATTCTCTAAAGTCCGGTACCAGCTCTTAAGAAAATATTCTTTGGCACTACATAAAAAATGCTGTCTATTCTTACTTGTTTCATTTTTTTTTCCAGTTTTTCCAGATGTCATTGGCTCTTACACTTCCATGCTGTGGAAGACAGCTACCTATCTCACCTCTCTTCTGTCCTGTCACACCTCTTCCTTTTCTGGAATTATTATTGGCTCTTCCTCAGATGTTATTCTCATTTTATTGTTCACCCTATCATGATGGTCCCTTATTACTTTTTATTTCAGATTTATACATCTTCCTGATCCACTCATCAATTATTTCCCTTTTGTTACAAAACTCAGTTCATATTAGTTCCAGACTCTTTACTCTTAGATTTTTTTTCTCCACAAGATCTACTTCTGCAGTTAACATCTTTTAATGAGGTTAAGAGACATCACAAGTATTTTCTCTTTAAATTCTAACTTAATTTTCTACTTCAACAGGACTGCCAGTCTCTATCCTCTCTAAAGTTTTTACAAAGTATATCTCTTCCCTCTGTATAACCCTTTGATGAAAATTGCGTATAGGATTAATTCTTACCTCTTGAAGGTGGCATGTCTGGCCTTTTATTATCTGGTCTCAGCCTACTTTCCCAAGCTCATCTGCTCTTTTCTTTCATAGATTACCATGTCTATTTTGTTTATTATTGTGAACTAAACACCAACCAATGACAAAAGAAATTGCACAGTCAGTTTGTTAATGGGTAGATGAATGAATGAATTACATAGCATTTATAGAATGCCTGCATTTTGCCAAGAATTGTGTCATGTGCTGAGATACAAGGATAATAAATTGTGAGCCTGTCCCCAAGGAGTCCATAGTTGAGTG